CCACTTTTACTTCACATAGTTCTACCTCATTTCTCTTTCTTCTATTTCTGGGACTCCAATTACATGCATGTTATACTGTTTGATATTCTTTACTATTGTCTTACAGCTCATGGAGGCTCCATTATACCCTCCTCCCTCCCCCCAATTCTTTTTCTTTTCTCTTAGTGTTTCCATTTGGAAAATTTCTATTGATCTACTGTCAAATTCACCTATTCTTTATTCAATTAAAGTCTGCTAATGCACTTGTCAAAGAAATTCTTAATCTCTGATATTGTGCCTTTTTTTTTTTTAGCATTTCCACTGATCTCTTTTGTTTTATAGTTTCCATCCCTGTGAAATTCCCCATCTGTTTATGCATGTTGTCAACTTTTACATCATATCTTTTAACATATTAATCACAGTTATTAGAGTCTTTGTGAGTGCCAATATCTGAGTCATCTCTGAATCTAATTTTATTTATCTCCTGACAAAAGTTGGACTTTTCCCCCTAGCTTTTTTCTCTCAATTTTTCAAAGATTGGCACCTGAGCTAACATCTGTTGCCAATCTTTTCTTCTTCTTTCCCCAAAGCCCCCTAGAACATAGTTTTATATTATACTTGTAGGTCCTTCTGGTTGTGCTATGTGGAACACCACCTCAGCATGGCCTGATGAGTGATGCCATGTCTGCACCGAGGATCTGAACCAGCGAAACCCCAGGCCACTGAAGCGGAGCACGCAAACCCAACCACTCGGCCACTGGGCCAGCGCCTGTGTGTCTCGATTTTTGACTAAATGTCAGACATGTAGAACAGAAAGACTGAGGTAGATGCTACTTATGCCCAGATATGGGTACACCTCTTTTTCTGTTAGACAGTTAGTGTTGAAGTGTTGTGTAGAACTTTTTTTATTTTGCCCCAAGTTCCTGGGATGGGAACTTCTAAATCCTTGGAATTTGCTGAGTGATAGGAGTGTCTTTGTTCTTAGTAGTGGGCTCTTGGACCACATCTGAGTTTATACTAAGGAGATGACTCAAGATGGGGGTGAGTCACATGAGAAAGATCAACTATGTGATTAGAGGTTGAGGCTTTGACCACCCAACCTCTGGGGAGGGAAGGGGGGCTGGAGATTGAGTTCAGCCACATGGCCAGTGATTCAATCAGTCATGCCTATGTAATGAAACTCCAATAAAAACTAAACATTAAGCCTCAATGGAGCTTCCCAGTTGGTGAGCACATTGATGTGCCAGGAGGGTGATGTATCCTGATTCTATGGAGAGAGGGCATGGAGGCTCCATGTTTAGGACCCTCCAAGACCTTGCACTGGGTATTCTTTATTTGGCTGGTTCTGATTTGTATCTATTATAAAACTCATCAAAAGTATAGTGCTTTCCTGAGTTCTGTGGTTTGTTCTAGTGAATTATCAAACCTGATGGGGTTGTGGGAACTCCCAAATGTGTAGTCAGTTTCTCAGAAGTGTGGGTGGCCTGGGGACATCTGAATTTATGGCTGGCATCTGAAGTAAGGGCAGTTTTGTTGTGGACTGTGCCCTTAACTTGTGGAATTTACATTCACTTCAGTGGATAGCATCATATGCCAATGTAACTTGGCACAAATGGCCAATGAGTACATGAAAAGGTGCTCAACATCACTAATCATCAGGGAAATGCAAATCAAAACCACAATGAGATATCACCTCACATCTGTTAGGATGGCTTTTATAAAAAAGACAAAGATAATAAGCGTTGGCAAGGATGTGGACAAAAGGGAACACTTGTACAGCTTTGGTGGGAATGTAAATTGGTACAGCCATTATGGAACAGTATGGATTTCCTCACAAAGTTAAAAATAAAACTACCATATAATTCAGAAATCCTGTTTTCTGGGTATATATCTGAAGGAAATTAAATCAGTATCTCAAAGAGACATCTGCAGTCCCATGGTCATTGCAGCATTATTCACAATAGCCAACAAACATATGGAAACAACCTAAGTGTTTGTCAATGGATGAATGGATAAAGAAGATGCAAGATATATATATAGATATAATAGAATATTATTCAGCCACAAGAAAGTAGGAAATCCTGCCACTTGTGATGACATGGATGAACCTGGAGGACATAAGGCTAAGAGAAATAAACCAGACAGAGAAAAAAGTAAGAGCTCACTTATATGTGGAATCTAAGAAAAAAAAAAAAGGCACACTCATAGAAACAGAGTAGAATTGTGGTTACCAGGGAGGTGGGGGAAATGGGGAGAAGCTGGTCAAAGGATACAGACTTTCAGTTATATGACTAAGTTTTGGGGATCTAATGTACAACATGGTGATTATAGTTAATAACACTGGATTGTATACTTGAAATTTGCTAAGAGTAGGTCCTAAGCATTCTCACCACACACACAAAAATGTAACTATGCGAGGTGATGGATGTGTTAATTAATCTGATTGTGGTAATCATTTCACAATGCATACATATATGAAATCATCACTTTATATATATAAAGTTTTGTCAACTATCCTCAATAAAGCTGGGGAAAATTAAGTCTTCAAAATTTAATCCTTAAATTTCAGTCTAACAATCGTGCATTTGAATTCTTTTTTGCCGTAATTTGAAATTGACCAATGGATATGGAGATTCCCAAAATGAAAATTATATGGTAGAGAATGGCTTTTCTACAGAATTTCTATTAACTACAGAATTTTGTATTTCTAGGCAATCTATATGTTCATAACAATGAAATGTTAAGTGTTGTGCTTCTCATATTTGTATTATACCCTTTCCAGTATTTTATTCTCTACAGAAAAATGAGCTTTGATAATGTGAACAAGTCATCCAACAAAATTGTGACAAATTGATGAAATAATTGATAAAATCACTTTTTCCATGTCTTATTTTTCACTCTTATCTGAGTAAAGTAATGCAGAATTATGTTAATATAGTAAATATAACAGCATTTTAAGTCAGAAAGTAAGACAGCATTAAGTTAAAAATTAAAAGAAAAAAATTGTATTGCAGTATTGCAAAGGGGTTGAGTTAAACTAGTCAGGAGTTTAGCTTTTTATCTTCAATGTAGACTTCAAGTTCCTTTATTTTTAGCTGCTCTTACCTTGTGCTTCGAGTGGAGTCTGGAAAGCTTGAAGGTTTTTCTGTGTTCCTACTCCACCCTCCACTTTCAGCCATCCCTGTATGTCTTTGCCACAGAGAGGGTCTCTCCATGCACTTTCTCCTAACCCAGTGGTCAACTGCTATTGCTTATTACTTGGTTCTAGCTAGTTGTTGGAACATGGTCGGTCTGTTGTCCTGATCCAGCCTGAATTTTAGGCTAGGTCTTTTCTTCCCGGGATTGGGGATGGGGCTTTCTCAGGGGTCCTATCCTTCTACCCTACAGCAGTCAAACTGCCTCATATCTGTGGTTGGTCTCTAGCGGGAAGTTCCCTCCCCAGCAACAGCAGACCTCGTTTTGAATTGGTGTAGGATTTCTGGGCCCAAGATTTCCTGCCCCTCTTCAAGGAGTGGAACGCGTTTGTTTCTATCCCTCCCTCAGCAATGCTGGATCTCCACTTGTGTCTGGGGCTAGAGTGTTTCCCATCCCTCCCCAGGGACCGATAAGTTTTGTTTCTACTCCCTCCTCACACAAGATGGAATTTTGTCTCCACCTTTGAGGTAAGAGGGCTTGCCACCCCTGCTCTAGCAGCTTAAGGCTTTTAAGAGAAGGGTTTGGGAAAGCGGGTGAGGCTTTGGGCATGCCACCCAGTAGCAGCCTATCACTCATGTTTGCTTGTCCCAGTAAGGGTGGCTGGCTCTTCAGGCCTCCTGTCTTGCTCAATGACAGGGATACATTTTGAGAAATGTGTCATTAGGTGATTTCATCATACAGAGTGTACTTACACAAACCTAGACCGTATAGCCTACTACACACCTAGGCTATATGGTATTGATCTTAACGGGACCACCATCATATATGCAGTCTGTTGTCAACCGAAATGTCATTACGTGGCACAAGACTGTAACTGGTAGAATTCTAAATTCTCCCATCTGGGGCTCCTACGTATTCTAAACTGACGTGCTACCCCACACTTGGCCTTTAACAATTTAAACTTCTAGTTAATTTCTTCTTATCCAGCCACCTTTGTCTCTTGTGTTCTACTAAAGATGAAATAGTTCATTTCACAGATACTGAGTCCCATCTCAACTTACTTGGTTGTCCTGGGGCCTTAACTATCTGATAGGCTTGAGAAAAATTATTTTTGTAGATTACCTAGCATTTTTTTTGTTAAGCTGGGAGCAACAGTCTCCTGTAGCTTTCCACATTCTTTGTGAAACCAGAACTCTCATCTACTTATTCTTACAGATGAATACGTCTCTTTTCCAATTTTGAATAAAAATTACATTAGAATTTTCCTAAACTTAACTTTGGAGGAATGGACAACATTATACTATTTGGTCTTCCCATCTAGAAATACTGGTATTCCCACTCATTTATACAAAATGCATACTCCAGGTTCCTTATGATATAGAGTCCATGATTTGTTAATTGACTTTAACTTAAATTCTATATTGTTACAAACACAAATAGAGGTGGCTTCTGGTATTAAAACACAATTAAAGATAAATAGGGAAATCAGAAATTATTAGGTTGGAACCAAATAATCATACAGGTATCTACAATCAAAACAGATATTAAGAATTATATTTAGCTCTGAGATTCCTAGGAGACAAGATAAAAAGGGAAACAGTGGATTATATAGGTCTCATAGTTTAACAGAAAGACTGCACTTTTATCTGGAGAAACATTTCTTGCATTGAACCCTAGGAAGATTTTTTAATGCAGTTCCTTTTAGAAATAACAAGATAGAAACTGAGTTCAAACACTGTTTTATAGAAAATAGTCAAATGTCCTTCAAACGACCATTTCTTTTCTTCACCTTAATAAAGGCCAGGAGCAAGCACATTTCCTATATTAACAGAAAAACAGGAATTCTAAATAACAAATGTGAAAAGTTGAAGAAATTCTGACAAGTTTTTCAGAACAATTGTTGAAAATATTTATTTAGAAAACATTTTTAGTTGGAAAATAGCAGAAGTGAAAAAAAAAGAAAGAAAATAAATATCACATTTCATTTAAACAATAGAATGCCATGCTGAGTTTAGTTCCACACTAAAAGGCCCACCAATATGTGTGTGTGGCCAGGGATGGATGTGTGGAAAAAATAAAAGAGAACTAAGATAGAGGTAGAAGATAACTCTTTGCTTACTGCCTGCAAGTCTTGTTCGGAGAGGAACCTCTGGAAAACCATGAGTTAAGATAGCTCTAGTTTACCAGCAAGCCAGAGGCAGAACCAATATAATCTAAAATACAGGCTATGTGTAACTTCTCAGGGTAACTTCTTAAGGGGGTTTGGTTCCACCAATGAATAAAGTTCCTAATTCCACACTAAGCTCATCCTTTGGGACATCGCTCTCATCTCCTGCTTCTTCCCCAAGCTTCTTCCACCAGGGTGCTTGTATATGCTTCAGGGTGGTGAGATGGGCCTGCTTGGCCTTGGCTGCCACAGGCCTGGATCTACTCAGGAAGAGCTCAGGTTCTTTCCCTTCTGCCTCCTTCAGACTTGGTGCCTCTGCAGTAAACAGAAAATAAAGAAGTGAGTGGAAGAGTCCTATACCAACAAGTAGGGACTTGGAAACTATAGAGTTGGACCTCTGCAATAGCAGGCAAGGACAGGGTTCCAACTCTGAATTTGTTATCACTGCTAGCTAAAGACGGCATGTGATTACTCACAAGTTGTAGCTGTGACTGGCATCAACTGCCCCTTCCCCCCAATTCTGTGTTTAAAAGAAAAGATGTAGATTTTCTTAGATGGTTTATTTTAAAAAAAGGGAATTTTAAAATAACAGGAGAACCCCATCTTATAGACGAGATGCTCAGTTATAGCCAGCTGTCCATTCAAAAATACAAAATTTGCAACTAATGGCATTAAAGAGAGAACCATGGCCCTTCTGTACTCCACATATACTGAAATTGTTTCAGAGGCTGACTGATGCACTGTGGCTTCATGGATGGGGTCTGTCATTAAATGCACCAGTGGTTGTCAGGAGCAGATAAATTAATTTTTGTGAAAGCACTTCATTAAAAATTATAAAATGGCACTGTAACTACTGTCATCATCTACTTCTAAAATATGATCAAAAGCTTCTGAGACTACATAATAGAATATGGTTAGTAGGGCTCAGCATCTTTAAAATTAATAACTTTCAGTTGATAGATACGAATGATAGCAAGACAGGGGGAAGCAGTGGAGGAGGTTATGGGATCTGCATCATTGGAAAACATTGTGTGCTAGTATGATCTAGATGTAGAAATTTCCAATGACAGAAGATGGGCTAATAGACCATTAAATGGTGTTTTCCTTCTGAAGATTCTGGATGTCACAAAATCTTGCATAGGTTGTTCCTTTTAGGAAACAAAAATGGAATGAGCACATACTCAGTAACTGTTCAATGTTGGTGCTGATCTGAGCCATCAGCGCCTCCCTGTGCTGCTGGGCTCTCTCCTCCAGGACCCTGCCCATGAAGTAGTGCTGCAGTCGTTCTTGAGCTTGGGCGTGAAGCTCCCTGCTGGTCACATCTAACATCGGAGAGCCCTGGGAATAGAGGACAGAAAAAACTGTCACAGGAAGTACATACATATCAAAGTTTGTTTCACCCAACCACTTGGCATAGAGGTTCCAGAATGCTTAGCTGTCTTTCATCTTTTCAACTGAATATTATGACTGATGTCTACTTTGTACTCTCATGCAAGCAATAAACAGCCTCTTAAAAGCAGCTTTAGATGAAAATGCAGGTGGGGAAGTTTCTTTTTGCTGTGCTCCCATACCTCACTTCCCCAGAGTATGGTATTCTGGGAGAAGAGATAAGATTGAGAGATTATAGTGAAAACGACAAATGGTTTGGTAAAGACTCTGGCCTGGAAGAGGAGTAACAAGGCCAACTCTTTTGTTCTGGACCCCACCTGATAGAGTATCTTACTTCTCATTCTATCCCTGCTCTCAAACTTATCTAATGTTATATGTTATCTAATGTTTATAATGTTTTAACTGCTTCTGATTTCATAGAACAAGGGGAAAAAATCAGCCAAAGGATCATATTCTTTTGGCTAGTCAGCTACTTTAAAGGGAACTTAAGAAATTAGTTTGGACAAAGGATGAAATAATCTAAACTTTGAAGCTGATAAAACTTCTGACACCACAGCTTTCTCAAATATTCCACTTCCTAGATCTTGCAGACAGACCTATTCCAGCTAACACCTTACTTTTCAGCCACAGAATTTTAAACAGCTGCACTAGAGTATGGCTGAAGCAACACTTCTTTTATTTTTGGTGAGGAGGATTGGCCCTGAGCTAACATCTGTTGCCAATCATCTTCTTTTTGCTTGAGGAAGATGGTTCCTGAGCTAACATCTGTGCCGATCTTCCTCTATTTTGTATATGGGATGCTGCCACAACATGGCTTGATCAGTGGTGCATAGGTCTGCACCCAGGATCTGAACCCATGAACTCCAGGCCACTGAAATAGAGCATGTGAATTTAACCACTACGCCACTGAGCCAGCCCCAAGCACTTCTTTATTAAATATGCATCAGAATAACACATAATGCATTAGGAAAAAATAGAGATCAAAGATCTAAATGTTAAGAGCTAAAACTATAAAACCCTTAGAAGAAAAGATAGAGGGAAAAACTTCATGACATTGGATTTGACAATGATTTCTTGGATATGACACTGAAAGCACAGGCAACAAAAGAAAGAACAAATTGGATTTCATCAAATTAAAAACTTTTGTGCATCAAAGGACACTATCAATAGAGTAAACAGGCAGCCCACAGAATGGGAGAAAATATTTGCAAATCATATATCTGATAAGGGATTAATATCCAGAATACATAAAGAACCCTTAAAACTCAACAACAAAAAACAAACAACCTGATTTAAAACTGGGCAAAGGACTAGACTAGATGTTTCTCCAAAAAAGATATATAACCGGCCAATAAACACATGGAAAGATGCTCAAAATCAGTAATCATTAGGGAAATGCAAATCCAAATCACACCACCACTTCACACCCATTAGGACGTAAAAATAAAAAATGCTGGTGAGGATGTGAAGACAGTCTTGCTGATGCAGTAGGGAAAATAACTGACTTGAAGCAAAGTCTTTACTACTGACTATATTTCTATGGCCCATGTAATTATAAGAAGACTCCAAATCCATGAACTCTATGGTAAAGCAACTGCATCGCCTTATACCAACAATAAATGTACATATACATCTGAGACACTGCTTTGTTGGTGAATATCATGCACTAAAATAATGTGACACTGATATCATGGCCCACATACTGGATGTCTTCTGACATAGTCATCTACTTGTTGCTTCAGCTCAACTCTGCGTGCATCCGTGAGTTCTCTGAGTCCTTGCCAAGGAGCAAATACTTTCTTTTTCTTACGGCACTTTGCTAGGAATTTAAGAGCCTGAAAAAAAAAGAGAAGATTAGTGATTTTTCTTCCATAATAGAACTATTTTCTTCTTACAACAACATATGGTAGCAACAACACTGTAACAGTTAACTCTGAGTGTGTATGGGGAGAGGGATGAGATTGCCCAGGGGTGAGGGAGGACGATGACTTTTTTGTTTTGGTGAGGAAGACTGGCCCTGAGGTAACGTCTGTTGCCAATCTTCCTCTTTTTGCTTGACGAAGATTGTTACTGAGCTAATATCTGTGCCAGTCTTCCTCTATTTTTTGTATGTGGGACACCACCACAGCATGGCTTAATGAATGGTGTGTAGGTCCACACCCAGGATCCAAACCTGTGAACCCCAGGCCACCAAAGTGGAGTGTGCGAACTTAACCACTATGCCACTGGGCCAGTCCTGACAAAGACTTTTTAATTATATTCTTCTGTAGTGTTTTAATATTTTACAGGGGTATAGTCATGTACTATTTGTACAGTAAGCAGTAAAGAGGAAAAAGTAAGAAGTAAGCATTGGAGTCTAGTCTCTTATAAACTGTATGATTTTGGGAAAGTCATTTGATATGTATAGGACAGGTTCTACGTCTACAGATAACAGGGACCCTAATGCTACTTAGCCTACAGGATTGCAAAGATCAAAGAGACAGTATATAAGAAAAAGCTTGGTAAATGAATGTTCTTCCTCATGTCCCTCAGAATGGACTTGGTAAAACAAGAAATTTTGTAATAGGCAATATTTGAGACAAATTTGAAATTATTCTGCCAACTTTTTTCCATTCTTCTCCCTTGGTAGTTTTTATTTTTATCAAAGTTTCATGCTCACATTATTTAAGGCAAGGGCTGGCAAATTATGGCCCACGAGCCAAATCTGCCTACTGCATGTTTTTGAATGACCTGAGAGTTAAGAATGGTTTTTTACATTTTATATGGTTACTAAGTTCAAAAGGAAAAGAATATTTTATGATGTGTAAATTATATGAAATTTAAATTTCAGTGTCTACAAATAACGTTTTATAGAAACACAGTCATGCTCATTTGTTTACGTATCGTCTACAGCTTCCTTTGTGCTACAACTGTAGAGTTGAATAGTTGCAATAGACCGCATGGCCTGCAAAGCCTAAAGCATTTCATTGTTGAACACCTTCCGAAAAAGTTTGTTGATGTAATTCTATTGTTTAAAGTGTCAGTTTTACAAGAATTCTTAACAAAGAAGCTATACAGTTCTCTGCCGACTTATCCTATCCCCTCCCCCAAAGAAAACAACTTTTAATTCTTTAGGTTTTTCTTTTGATGCTTATCTCCATCTACTTTTCTGTAATTTTTCAGATTATAGTTATTTTCTATTGACTTTCTTGTATGGAAGGTAAGCATTTAGCTCTCTTTCACCACTAGCACTCTTACATACTTGCCATATCTTCAAACACCCAATATTATATCATAATTTTAGTTAATGTTATGTTTACATAATTATGGCTACATAAAGGCTATTCATTTTTGAACCATGTAGTATACGATGATTACTTTTCCTTCCTTGTACATTTTTTATTTTCACTTCAATTAATAAATCTATTGTTTTCCTGTGCTTAGTTTTCTATGTACTTATCACTGATTATATATCACAAACGCTGCCCTAATTGTCAATACATTAAAACACATCAGGGATTCTATCAAATTAATTTTCCTGGACACACATTTTCTAGAGCTTTCTGACCTCTCCAATCTGGATTGACTGTTCTCTATGACTGGTGCATAGGTGTCATCCTGAGATCTCCATTCACCATCATCTTGATGACTCCTTTTCATCTTTCCTTTCTGTTTCCTGGATTCCACGTTGTTTCTTTCTTGGGTTATTCCTTTGTTTCAGTGACTTTGTGATGCATAAAAATGTCTTTAGTTTATCTTTACTTTTAACTGATGGTTTGGTTGGGTACAGAATTCCAGCTGGAAATCATTTTCAAACATGTGACAGCCTTACTCCAAAACCTTTTAGTTTCCAATGATGATATTGAGAAGTACTTTTGTCCCCAGTTTATTTCACAGTAATGTGAAGTAAATGCGGGTGTGTTTCTGTCATTGTATTGGACACATAGTCAGTCCTTTTTTTTTTTTTTTTTTTGAGGAAGATTAGCCCTGAGCTAACCTGCCGTGCCCATCTTACTCTACTTTATATGTGGGACGCCCACCACAGCATGGCTTGATAAGCAGTATGTAGGTCTGCACCCAGGATCCAAACTGGCAAACCCTGGGCTGCCGAAGCAGAGCACATGAATTTAACCCCTTAACCACCAGCCATCCCCTGGTCGTCCTTTTAATCTACAACTCATGACATTCAGTTCCGGGAAATCTTGAATTATTTGATTTCCTTTCCTCAGGTTTTTTGTTGCTGTTCTTTGTTTCAAACGTTTGGATGTTTGACCTCCTGGACTGGTTATCTTTTCTTTTCCTAGGAGATTTCCCAACCCTTCTTTCCTAGCCCTTTTATTATGTCTTTTATTTTTTCTCTTAAATTTTATTCTATTTGTTACCTCTTATGTAGCATCTTAGTTTTGTTTCATGTATTATTTTCTCTTAAGTCTGTAAGGAATTAATAGACTTTTAAAAGTTTTCTCATTCCTGCAATGAATTTCTACCAAGTAGTTTATTCTGTTGGTTTTGGCCTTAACTTTCCTCAGATGTCCAGTGATACTTTCAGCTGATATTTAAGAGTAGGCACTAAAAAGCTGTTTAGAAATTCTGAGCAGGTGTGTAGAGCTTAGCTACTGTGTACTTCAATGTAGGGATGCTGAACGGGGCTGTGTCGTTTGGGTGCCCCATCGTGAGTATACTTATGACTTTTCTCTTGGGCTGTTCAGATTTCTCAGAGAAAATGCTTTTAGTCTACTGTTTTCAGGATATAAGCCTCACTGACAGCACTCTGTGAGCTGAGAAGAAAAAAGGGCTGGAGGTCTTCACATTCAGTATATAAAATTTCCCTAATACTCTTGTTTTCAGTATGGTACCTGAGCTTTCAGTTATGCCTGCATCCTCCTGTTGATAGACCCTCTCCTTTCCTTCTCTTCTTCTCTTTACTCGATTTTTCTTCCTTGCTTCTCCTCTCTTCTCTACCTCCTATTTTTATTATCACCCTAGGCTTATGATGCTATGCTGGGAACTTCAGAGTAAAAGTTCCAGAACAGAGGAATCTCTGCTCCTATATCAGAAAATCTTAGCTTGAATTCTCTCTCTTTTCCTCATTCTTTGTCATTTCAGGACTCTCTGAAATTGTATTTATCTCCCAGGTTCTTTTTTGTTTAATCCATTTTACTTTTTATTGAGGTTATGATAGTTTACAACCTTGTGAAATTTCAGTTGTACATTATTGTCAGTAATATTGTAGGTGCACCACTTCACCCTTTATGCCAACCACCGCACTCCTCTTTTCCCCTGGTAACCACTAATCTGTTCTCTTTGTCTACAGGTTTAACTTCCACATGAGTAGAGTCATACAGAGATTGTCTTTCTCTATCTGGCTTATTTCACTTAACATAATACCCTCAAGGTCCATCCATGTTGTTGTGAATGGGACGATTTTTATCCTTTTTTATGGCTGAGTAGTATTTCATTGTATATATATACCATATCTTCTTTATCCAATCATCAGTCGATGGGCACTTAGGTTGCTTCCACGCCTTGGCCATTGTGAATAATGCTGCAATGAACATAGGGGTGCATGGGACTTTTGGAATTGCTGATTTCAAGTTCTATGGATAGATACCCAGTAGTGGGATGGCTGGGTCACGCAGTGTTTCTATTTTTAATTTTTTGAGAAATCTCCATACTGTTTTCCATAGTGGCTGTACCAGTCTGCACTCCCACCAGCAGAGCATGAGGGTTTCTTTCTCTCCACAACCTCTCCAACATTTGTTATTTTTTGTTTTGGTTATTTTCGCCATTCTAACAGGTGTAAGATGATATCTTAGTATAGTTTTAATTTGCATTTCCCTGATGATCAGTGATGATGAGCATCTTTTCATGTGCCTATTGGCCATCCATATATCTTTTTTGGAGAAATGTCTATTCATGTCCCCTGCCCATTTTTTGATCGGGTTGTTTGATTTTTTGTTGTTGAGTTGTGTGAGTTCTTTATATAGTATAGAGATTAATGCTTTGTTGGATATATGACTTGCAAATATTTTTTCCCAATTGTTGAGTCGTGTTTTTGTTTGAATACTGTTTTCCCTTGCCTTGTAGATGCTCTATAGTCTGAAGAAGTCCCATTTGTTTTTTCTTTCTATTGTTTCCATTTTCTGAGAAGATATGGTGTCCAAAAAGATCCTATTAAGACTGATGTCAAAGAGTATACTGTCTATATTTTCTTCTAGAAATCTCAGGGTTTCAGATCTTACCTTTAAGTCTTTGATCCATTTTGAGTTTATTTTTGTGAAGGGTGCAAAAGAATGGTCAATTTTCATTCTTTTACATGTGGCTTTCCAGTTTTCTCAACACCATTTGATGAAGAGACTTTCTTTTCTCCATTGTATATTCTCAGCTCCTTTGTCAAAGATTAGCTTTCCACAGATGTGTGGTTTTATTTCTGTGCTTTCAATTCTGTTCCATTGATCTGTGCATCTGTTTTTGTACGAGTACCATGCTGTTTTCATTGCTATAGCTTTGTAGTATATTTTGAAGTCAGGGATTGTGATGCCTCCGGCTTTGTCCTTTTTTCTCAGGATTGCTTTAGCAATTCAGGGTCTTTTGTTGCCCCATATGAATTTTAGGATTTTCTGTTCTATTTCTGTGAAGATTGTCACTGGGATTCTGATTGGGATTGCACTGAATCTGTAGATTGCTTTAGGTAGTATGGACATTTTAATGATGTTTATTCTTCCAATCCGTGTGCATGGAATGTCTTACCATCTCTTTATGTCATCATCAATTTCTTTCAGGAAAGTCTTATAGTTTTCATTGTATAGGTTATCTCCCAGTTTTTATTTATTTTCTCAACTGCCAATGGTTTGTTTCACTAAGTGCTTTTGTGGTTGGCTGTGATGGATATGTATAATAGTGCAATAGTACTTTTCTTCTAGAATCAAATAGCAAGAATTAGCCATCATTCTGGTTCTAGAGACCAGACACTGGCAACCATCAGCTTCCTTCTGAGCTTCTTAAGAGATGAGGAAGCAAGAGAAGAAAATCCTGGAGCATTAAAAGGGAAAAGGCAGCTAACTTTTACTTCTAATTTAATTCCAACACTAAATCAGCTACAGAGAACTCCAACTTGTCTATGCGAGTAAGGATGTGTAATTTGAAATTAGCAAGTTTACATAAGATTTTCTCTATTCTTAGCTATCTGAGAAACAGTGCCTCTGCTTTTGCAAAAAGTAAGGGAGAGACAGAAGGTAAACAGTTCTGGCCTTTCTCTACCACGGACATTAATAACCAGTTCCTCCTGAGGGGACAAGCTTATTGAAATGATATTCCTATTCCTTTCTGTTCAACTGATGAATTATTATTTCCTTTTCTCTCCTACCAAGGTCAAGTACAGTGTTAATAGAAATATAATGCAAGTCACATATGCAATTTTAAACTTTCTAGCAGGCACATTAAAAAAAATCTTAAAAAGAAATAGGTGAAATTAATATTTTGCATATACTGAGTTATGTAAATATATTATAACTCAACATACGTAAAATATTAGCATTTCAACATGCTGATATAAAAAATTGTTAATGAGATATTTCACACCTTTTTTCCATGCTAAGTCTTCAAAATCTGGTGGGTATTTTACATTTACAACACATCTCAATTTGGACTAGCTTACGTGTCAATTACTCAACAGCCACATGTGGTTAGTGACTCATGTATCAGACAGTGCAAGTCTATAGGACGTCTTAGAAATGGATGCTTCAAAAATGTGGTAGAATGTGTCCTTACTGACCATTGCCCTGTTCTAATTTTCTCTACTACATTCTTTTTTCTCCTCTCTGTACTTTGTCATTTTTCTTTTTCCTCTTTGAAAGTAATCCTCTTCTTTCTTTTTCTATTTTCTATATTTCTACTTTTGATGTCTAGCTTTGCTTTGATTTCATTGTTAGTTTTAGTAGTGAGCTGCAAAGACTATAAACGTGATCTTGACCCCTCTCTTTTTATTCTTACTTCAACGGAGACCCCATATTCCTTTTTTTGGGTAGGGAAGCCATGAGGCAGATGTGACTTGTTTTCCTCTTATGCCAAGGGAAAGCATGAAAGCCCAACAACTATGCCTTCAAGTCCCTCAGATATCATCCTAGGATGACCCCTGCTTCTCTCTCTAGGGAATGGTGGACAAATTGGGGTATCTCACTTTAGAGTAGAGGACCCTTTTACAAACTAGTGGGCTTATCTAAATCAGGCAAGGTAGTAAGTCAACTTCATAAGGGCCCAGGTGATTCTCCGACAGGGAAGAGTTTAAAAAGCCATGAGGTACAAGTCTTAGAAAAGACCCAAGGTTCCTCTAATGGAAGTGTCTCCAACTGATAGCCATGCCTTAATCCTTAGACTGTCTTGGTTAGCAGGGGGTAAATAGCAGGTGTGGGTGTGATTCAGTGATGGTGCAGGACTGTTTGTTGCAGATACAGCCTGAGATCCCTAGAAAAGTTTGAGGCAGAAGGAGGCGGCAGACATCTCCTTCTATTTCCCTAGTACTTACTCTACTCTATTTTTAAATTATTTGAAAGAAATCTTTGTAAAACGTTAATCACAGAAAATTCAACAGATTGTTCAAAATCTATTACTGTGAAAAACTGAAATTGACCTGAAGTTCAACAATAAGGAATTGTAAAACTAAATGCTATAGGACCTGAAGTCCTAATGTGAAAGTTAACCATGTGTAAGTGAATAACAGGATATTAGGAAAACTGGCCATTAAATGAAATAAACAGCTGGTGCTATACTCTTCCAAGGCAATAAAATATTACTATGCGCCAGATAAATCCTAGGAAAATTATCATTTAAGAACTCGATTCTATAATTCAGGAATTATAATGATCTAATTATATCTAATGTATTAGCTGTGCATTAAAAAAACATCAAATATGATATGCTGCACTTGCATAGGACTTAGCAATTTACATAAATTAGATCACCTGAGCCACATAACAACTGAGTGAAAAAGGTAGGGCAGACATCCATTCACACATCAAGCACATGCTGAGAGCTGGCAACAATAAATACGACTTAGTTCCTTATCCTTGAGATGATCACCGCACAAGTAAGAAAGAAAAAACATTAACAACATTGCACTATGGTAAATGTCCAAGAGTCTACAGAAGTGCTCAGGACTAAGTGTCTAAATCAGTTTGGTCAGTGGTAAGGAGGTTCTTATTTTATAGAGGAAGAAACAATAGCTCAAGAAAGCAAAGTGACCTGACGAAGACTTCACAGCAGGTAAATAGCAAAGTCAGGTTTGAACCCATGTTTTTGCCTCCTAATCCAGTACTCTTTTTACTACATCAGACTCACTGCTCTCTGAAGTGTGACAGCTGCTTTATGCTCCGTGAGAGATGGCTTCTGTTGGTGAAAATTTTTCCTTTCCCTGTACCCTCTCCAATGTTTCTGGATAATTAATGCTGATTTATCTTCTATTTCCCGATTATATTTTTCCACCTGACCTAAAAAGATGACAGACACAATTACAACATATTCACTTCTATGCTTTCTCAAGTTCTGGAACCAGGACAATGATAGTAACAATCTCACAGAATTTTTATTTTTTTCAATATTGTTCACTGATTTTCCCAATTCTATTATTTTACAATGGTTCTACATTTTAGCAACAAAGAGCTCCAAAAAATTTATCAGATTATGGAGCTTCTTTAGAGCAAAGACTCATACAATTTTTTGTGTCAGAGGAATGAAAAAGGGCCAAAAGTACAATAGCAAGAACACTTAGAAAAAAGAATCACAAGAACATGGTTAGGAAGTCATTCAGTACCATCAGAAGGAAAGGGCAAAACATGTGTATGTGCTTCTAAACTTCTCTTCGGTCACTCACTCAGTTCTACAGATGACTTTTTTTATTACTTTCTAGGCGTTGGTCAGCATATAGCCCAGGGTTCACAGTAGCTAAGTGATAAAATAAGGAAGTGGAAGGTAATAATAAAAAGGGCTGTATTTGAGAGAAAGTACAAAAAACTGATAGGATTTAATGATCAACTGGATGTGAAGGTGAGAGAGGGAAGAATTTTAGGATGTCTCAAAGATGGGAAACTGAGAAGACTGTTGGTGCAATCATCTGAGATGAAGAAGACAGGGATAGGAAATTCTGACGGGGAGATAATGACTAGTTCCTGGGATGCCTGTGCATATCTAAGTAAAGCTACCCAATAGGCAGCTGGCTACCAAGCTGTGTTGTCCAATACACTAGAAACTAGCCACAAATGGCTACTTAAATTTAAATAAAGTAAAATTAAAAATTCAGGTCCTCAAGTGCACTAGCCACATTTCAAGTACTCAACAGTCACTCTAGACAGTGGCTACCGTATTGGACAATGCAAATAAAGAACATTTCGTTTTGTAGAAAGTTCTATCAGGGGGCCGGCCCGGTGGCGCAGCGGTTAAGTTCGCACGTTCCGCTTCTCGGCGGCCCGGGGTTCGCTGGTTCGGATCCTGGGTGCGGACATGGCACTGCTTGGCAGCCATGCTGTGGTAGGCGTCCCACGTATAAACTAGAGGAAGATGGGCACGGATGTTAGCTCAGAGCCAGGCTTCCTCAGCAAAAAGAGTAGGACTGGCAGTAGTTAGCTGAGGGCCAATCTTCCTCCAAAAAACAAAAAAAACAAAAAAAAACAAAAAAAAACACAAAAAACAAAAAACAAAAAAAAGAAAGTTCTATCAGGCAGCGCTGGTCTAGAGCTTAGGAGAGAGTATGAGGATGCAGACAAGATTTCAGAGTGCTAAGCACTCAGTTGGTAGCTAAAGCTACAGTTATGGATGGGATACCCTAGGAAAAGCAACATGAGAATAATGGGGTGAGAATGGAACCCTCGGGAACATCTCTATTTAAGGGAAAGAGAAATAAGAGGCTAGTAAAGGACACTGGGAATGAGGAGTAGCAGAGGAAGGGGAAGAATGAAAAAAGAATCTTGAAACCATGCAGATTTCCCAGACCACACTTTAAATTCAGCTAGTGTCAAAGGTGGCACGAAGGTGTTACAAGGTTTGTGCTGCAGTATAAGTAAAGTTCTGATGGCAGAATGTAGCAATATTCTAACTCCTTACTTAAGTTCAAGGGGATTCTTTATGTCACTGACAGCTATCTTTAGGCATAAATTTTTATGTTCACTAATTTATCTGAAAGGTAAGAAAAGAAAAACCAGTATAGAGATTGCTCATCATCAATTAATAGACCTTAATCAGAAAAAATAGTAACTTTGTTTTTGACTTGAGATTTAATAAGGTTTATCTGAAAAAGGAGAAACAGAGAAAAGGTCCAAATTAAAAAAAATAAATAATCAGGCAGCTGGACAATTTAGTTTATTAAATGATATCCTAAACATTCTTATTACATTTATAAAATTGATACTGCCATCTACCTGGATGAACTATTTCAAGCATATTCAGCTGTAATTCTCGGGAAAGTCTCATGGCTCTCCGTCTTTGAAGTTGCAATTGTAATCTCTGGTCCTCTTCTTCCTTCTGCCTATTTAGCTTCAGTAGCATCTTTGTTCGTTTAGATCTGTGATGGAAACATTAAAAACCTTACACACAATTTTTATAAATATGTCCACTCAAGAAGTATACGAAAAAATGCTTAACCTCACTAATAATCACATAAATACAGACAAATAAAAAGTTTTTTTAAGATAATTCCTAGTGTTGTTAGAGTATGATAAAGTAGGTTTTCATGTGCTGCTACTGTACAACTCTTCTGGAGAAATACTTGGAGATATGCATTACAAGTCTGAGAAATATTTAACAAATGAATCAAAAGCCTTAAAAATGTCAACCAATAATTCCATTTCTACTAATTTTCTTAAAAAAACTGACATGTATGTAAAACTTTATGTTCATGGATGTTCTCTATAGCATTACAACTGTAACAAGTTGACAACAAACCGTATGTCCTACAATAGTGAAGTGGATAAATAAATACTGGTTCATTCACTGGATGAGATGCTATGAACTATGAAAAAATAATTTCAAAGAATATTTAGTAAGATGAGAATATACTCCCAATCTAATGTCAAGTGAAAATAAAATCAGGACATAGAAGAGATCCAAATTGTGTAAAAATATATGTATTTACTTATATTGAAAAATAAGGGGCCAGCCTGGTGGCACAGTGGTTAAGTGTGCACGTTCTGCTTTGGTGGCCCGGGGTTCACCAGTTCGGATCCTGGGTGTAGACATGGCACTGCTTGGCAAGCCATACTGTGGTAGGCGTCCCACATATAAAGTAGAGGAAGATGGGAACGGATGTTAGCTCAGGGCCAGTCCTCCTCAGCAAAAAGAGGAGGATTGGTGGCAGATGTTAGCTCAGGGCTAATCTTCCTCAAAAAAAAAAAAAGAAAAGAAAAAGAAATTATGAAAAAAAACTAAAATTTCAATAGAGATTTTCATTGCATAGTATGATTATGGATGATCTTAATTTTATTCATATGTTTATCTACTTCTCAACTATTGACTAATAAATATTGTTTTTATAACTGATTATAAAAATTTTCATGTGGCACAAAAATTTTATTTAACTAGCATTTCTGTATTATCTGCTTTTATTCACAAAAATTTTCCTTAGCCATTTCTACCCATTTTTGCTTCCTACATCACTATATAAGGAGATCATAAGTGTGTCTATAGTAAATATATTCAAAATGCCTGCAGATACACATAGAAAAAGAAACCAAAGAGGATAAGAAGAAAAGCAGAATGCATTATTTATTTTCTCTCTATGGACTTACTTTGCATGTGTCTCACTCAAGAGCATTTGCTTTCTCTTATATTCTTTTCTTAAAATTAAACTGCCAGCAAATGTGGTACCTTAGCTATAGCTTTGTAGTGTTAACAGGCAGGCTTCATAATGGTGTAGTTAGAGAGGGTTATAACAACTTTTAACTCAATTTCTTTGAAAAAGCAAAAACAATTAAGCATAAGACAACTTTGAAAGGAAATATTTTAAAGCAGAGAAGGAAAACTCACAAAATTATTTTGATAAAATTTTGTGTAGGTGTGTGTGAGCAGTTTTTGTTTCTTTTCTTACAATTTCTTAACTGCTACCAATTACAATTTAAGTTTTCTTTGGATTTCCATGTAGGCCAGAGTTGAGGATTTCATAGTTTCAAAACCTCTTTCTTAACCCTATTATCATAGGTAGAGAAGACCTCAAGTATATGTAAGTGCCAAAAGGAGAAGGGGTTTGAGAGAGGATGTGCAGTGAGTTGAATAGTTTCTAAGTATCTCTTGCTCCTCCTGAGACAGAGATGAAGTAAGTAAGGGCCTTTCTCTTCCCAAAGAATGACTGGTGGAAACTTGCCTCACCTACAGAACTCCCCCTTCAAAACTTTTGGGATGTACAGCATGTTGATAAGAACGTTTTGCCATTTACCTACTTATGGAGGATAAAAGAGAACATATCCTAAACAGAATCTCCTTTCAAATTGACTAACAAGAAAACAAGACAAAAAAACCACCTCTGTTTCTAACTTCTATTTGATCACAGATTAACATCTAATTACCAATATTTTTAATATACTATTAGTATGAGAAACATAGTAATCATTACAACTACACTGCTAGGACCTTTAATCTGTCAGAAAACTGGGCTTGGGAAACAGCTTAGGCATGCAAGCTCTAATATGTGGCAAAACTGCAAAGACTTATGGAGCATGCATGTGGAAGTAAAATACAAACCAGGAAGACAGTAGATAAGTGAGGTTCAGTAACTGAAATGACCACTACAAAGTGGAAATACACATGTTTCTGGATTCATATGCTTTAATATCATGTTTGAAAACAATAGGAATTAATGTGACTTTAAATGTTTTTCCCCTTTCTTAGGAACATTCTAGTTATTCTGTGGATAAAAGTTCCTATAATCATCAAAAATTAAAAGATTATTTATTTTCACTGGTTTCTTTGTAAGAAAGAGTAGGCATTTGACCATCTGGCATTTGTACTGCACTTCTGAAAAGGAAAAGACTGATCAGATATCATCGTCTCAAAATACCTTACGTAAGTACATTCCTGAGTTACATTTAATTAACATGAATCTTTACCATCAAAGGGGGAGTTAACCAAACTATCTGCTGCCAAGACATCAAGAATTCTCCAGGAATGCCTCTGTTGTAGAATAATAAGTATGAACAGGGATAGTCCCATGAGTTCATGGTCAAAGTTGTTGACAGGCTCTGTTCCTTAACTTAACAAACACTTATCTGAGTGATTGCTGCCTGCTTGGTACTGTCCCTCAGACAAACATTTATCATTAACTCAACAAACATTTATTTGAGTAACTGCTGCCTGCTTGCTACTGTCCCTCAGGCAAACAGAGAAGAGATCCAGTTCTGCCCTTAAGGAGCCGTTTTAAGGGGAAGTTGAAGAGTAGCAGAATATGCTACTTTGGCATAAAGATTATTCTGAGCTGGAGGGAAGTAAGAATCAACAAATGCAGAAAGCCTTCATGGGAGCTTCTCTTATCTAACTAAAAACAGAAATGTCTGAGAAATGAGGAGTGCCATAAATCCTCCCTCCCAAGGAAGTTTTGATGAAGAAGGTAGAAAAGTTGGTGTCAAGATGAACCTGCACAAATAACCCATATCTTCCATTAGTTTCCCCAACATATTTGCCTTCCTACAATTTGCTACCCTTGGAAGCCTAAAAGCCTTTTCTTTTCACTTGTCACTTCTCTACAAATTTATTATGCTTTGTTAAGATCTATACAAATATAAGCCCAAGTTCTAACCACCTCTTTGAGTTAACTCATCACATGAAGTTTCTTCTGCATGATGTGTGCTGCACACATTAATAAATTGTTTTTCTCTTGTTAATCTGATCTTTTTGTCAGTCTAATTTTCAGGGCCCCAGCCAATGAACCTAAGGTGGGTAGAGGAAAAAACGGTTTTCTTCTACAAAGTCAAGCCAAGTATAATTACAACACCTAAACATCAACACCATGCTAGAGGCAGATAATTTGTGAGGTTTCCCAAAGATAATTGGAGCAGCTGATAGCTGCTACAGAAAACCTTGCTGAGGTAAAGAGTACTTAACAGAAAATAAAGTTTCTGACCATGAAAAATAATTAAATAAAAAAGAAACTCCCAAGAAAGTGCTTTAGCAAGGGTGTGACTATAAAAGACTGCCTCTTGCTGAATCTAAAGAGCACTGATGAATCTGAGCCCATAATTGTGAGTGATGCACAGTCCTTCCCCCAAAAAAACATGGGAGGGGGAAATTACTCTGAGAGAATTATCTGACCACAAAGAGACAGAAATAACCTTTGCAGAAAGCCCAGCTATAAAGGAAGCAAGAGAAATTTGCATAAACTGTCGCAACTAATAGTAGACGAAAGGTGCTGAAGCCTGGAACAAACTTGAAATTAAAAAAATTAAATAGAACCTAAAGGTTAAAGACATACTTCAGTCTGTCCTGAAACTTCAAACTCAAAATATTGAAAGGAAACAAACTCATTCTAATGTGAGATTTAAATCAGTTTGTCTTCACAGCTAATCTCTTTTAATAGAAATATTTATAATAGATCTGGTTCTGTTACATAAAGCAATAGAATTTCTATTTTAAAATAGTGGAATATTAGTTAGATTCCATAGATATACTTCTAAGTGGACAAAATCTGTAATCCTGGGATACTTTTTTTTTTTGGCGAGGAAGATTGGCCCTGAGCTAACATCTGTTGCCAATCTTCCTTTTTGCTTGAGGAAGACTGTCCCTAAGCTAACGTTTATGCCAATCTTCTTCTATTTTGCATGTGGAATGCCTCCACAGCATGGCTTGATGAGTACTGTGTAGATCTGTGCCCAGGATCCAAACCTGTGAACCCCAGGCCACCAAAGTAGAGCACATAATCTTAACCACTACACCACCAGGCTGGCCCCCTGGGATTCTTTTAAATAAAGATTTACATATTGCAAGAGAAAGTAAACTGGCAAATTTGACAACTGTTGTGAGACTAAACATTAAAGGTTTGAATTCACAGCATAGGAGTACCTTTTAATGTAAGAGGACAGACAGCTGAGAATGACAGCAAGTAGAATCCATAAGTAGTAACTACTCTGAGTTCACAACAGAAGGCAAGGCTATCCCAAGAACATCTCAGACTCTTGAATAGAAGAATGTATACTGTGACTCTCAAAGTATTCATTTCCCAAATTTATTTGACCAAAGGAATCCTTTTTTAATGTTTTTTAAGAAATAGCTTGTAGGATAGACAATAAACTTTTGAGCAATGCTGGAATGGATTATACTTACCTCTCATGAGTACTATTTATTTGACAGATCTGTTTATCTAACTAGATTTGTAAATCAAAGGCAAAAAATGTGCCATATGCATCTCACCTCACCATGTTCTAAGTGCCAGGTAATATGCTAAAAAACTTTATACTATTTTAATCTTGTCAGGTACATAGAAAACTATCCCCATTTTATATAGACGGGAAATTTGAGGCTGAGAGAGATAGGGCAACTTGTCCAAGGTCATTCAGCCCATAAATTGCTGAGGTGGGATACAAACTCAAGTCTGTTTAACTCTCCCAGTGCAGAGCATAGCATCTGGCATATATCAGCCACTTGAAACATGTTTAAAAAATTAATGCTTTTTTTGCTACCAACAAAACTCATTCCAAATAATATTAATAACCTATCCTTAAGTCTTCTCTGAAGGAAACTTTCATCAATGAAAAGGATGTCCATTAAGGGACATAGTTAGCCAGAGGGGCTCAATATCCACCACTAACCCATCCAGATTCTTAGAGGCAATGGAAAGCAACACACACACTCACACAAACATGACTTAGCTCTTAGGTCATTTATAATAGGGTAGAGCCATCTCAGAGGTGAGTTCTCATGCAGTCCAACTTAAAGCTAAATTTTAGTCCACTACTTTAAAACATTCTTATAACTGAGAAATGCAGCTGCAGTTATTAAAATAGTTTCAGTTTTCGTAAAAAAAGCAACACTAACTTCTGAAATAAGCAAGTTTCACTTTAGTGAACTAAAATCAGTCATATCAAAAACTGGGCCATGTCTTTAGTATTTCATTTTTAGTCTACTTGAAATAGAGATGAATGATAAACTATGTTGTATCTCAAAGACCGTATCTATCCATGCCATATTTACTGAGGAAAATCAGGTTAATATACTTAAACTTTTACATATTCATACATGTTTTTACCATAACTAGATATGAACAATTACGGCAATTTTTTGTTTTAAGGGTTTAATAAGATAATTACTATCACTGGCTCCCTCTGAAGGTTTGGCCCACAAGAAAATCCTATTAAATGAATAGAACTGTGTATTTCTTACAGTAGATTCCTGTCTTACTTTATCTCCTTTGCTTTGAAAGTGCATCTGGTTACTGGAGTGCTGGTACTCAGAAATGTATGGAATAAGAATGAAAGAGTAACAAAAACTGATTAAAAAATTGGAAAAAAAACCCCAAAACAAAAACCTTAAGTTTTCACTCAGCTGTACTCTAGTAAGACATATCTAGCCCTCTCTGATCATCATTCCTCTCACTAAAATTTTTTACCTGAAACTCCTCTGCAAAGTAATCACAGCAGATGGAAGCTTCTTTAGTCTCTTTCTAGTTTGGAAACCCTTCCAATAAGCTTGAATCAAGCAAGCTGCTTGATGTAGTTTCTGAAATTAAAAGACAGAATTAATTTAGAGACATCACTAGGAAAGTCTTTTTTAGAAGTTTACCTCTTAAAATATCAAGACTGGGCAAGTATTAATCTCCATCTCTAATAAGTCAGGCAAGAGGCAACATTTTCATAGTCCCAGGACACGGAAGGCCTAAGGATGTTAAACCTGACCTCCCAGAGGAGGCACACTAGTTAGGCAACATCTAGAACATATCCAAGATATAGTTTGGTTATCTCCAAATTCTCCCTGATTAATCTTTTACTCCCTTTACAAGACTTTTATAGTTCTGCTTATTTAATGCTTTAAATGCTTGACTTCTTATGCCTGGCCTCACTTCTTCAAGGATTCAAACTTATGAAGAACTCTTTGTGCCAGCTGAAAAAAAAAAGGCTCTGGGGTTAAAAATTCAGTCCATAAACAACACCTTCCCCCATCAAACTATGGCTGCTCTGGATCTTAGGGGGAAGTAAGTAAAGACAGGGGGAGAGAGAGCAAATAAGATTCAACAGACTACCACTCTCCAATATTTTGAAACTAAAATGTTTACTGAACTGTTAGCAAATACTGTGCAAATTATTTTTATAATTTAATACCTGCTCTTCTACTTCCTGATAGACCTTAGGGCTTAAAAGGCCAATGAGCTGTCTAAGTTCTTGACTAAACTCTGTCCCAGGCTCTTGTTTATTTAGTAGACTTCTGAGTCCTGAAATGGAATAACAAAAGTACAACTATTAATAAAAAAATATGATTTTGTTATCTAATCAGTATTAATTTGAGGTTAAAAAGTCTGGTTTAGAAACAAATGAACACAACAAGATTAATCATATGATTTTTCTTTTTCCTATTCTCAAAGACTTCTACACTGAGGTCTTTAAGACATTCCCTTGTCCTAAGAGTTCTTATGTGCCTACTTGTAAGATCTGATGCAAAATGTCTAGTCAATCACTTTAATTAAGAAAAGGGGAGTAGAGTCATTATGGTAAGTCAAAGAGCAGAGATAGAGAATTTTTTTTCTGTTTGAACATAAACACCTTAAACCAAAACATTTTTAAAAAGGTAATGAATACATACTGAGTAAATGCCTACCCTGTAGAAGCACTGAAGCAGGTTATCATTAGTCATTATTCATTAAAGAAAGTTATTATTAAATTAAAATATACAGTAATATATGTAATCTTGGGTAAATCAATAGTGTTATAACATTAAAATACTGCATTTTCATCCCAAAACAAAACAGTAGCAGGATAAGGTACAAAGTAAGTACTATTTCCAGGGCATGTTGGAATGATGTATTATAATGTATGTATGCAATACAAATAAGTAAAGTCAAATAGCCTTGGAGTGTACAACTGGGGAAGCCACTATCTGGATCTTTCTGTGCCTTATACGCTCTTCAAGACTCAAGTTCTCAGCTGTATTAATAACTGTAAAGCTAGTCTTGGTAAGGTCACCAATCTTTTTGGCCATTATTTTTAACATACTATATGGTATATTCAAGACACAACCTTTTTGTCAGAGAGGGAGTAAATATTCATTGTAACCTCATCAACAAAGTACCATATGCCATCTGCTGGGACATGAGGATAGCTTGATTACCTAAAAACTTTTTCCTGAATTGGTATCTGTTATGATCGGGTTTTATCTACACACTTCAGTTACTGACTTTTTCAAAACACAGAAATTCTGTTTTCCATAAACTATCAAGAAAAATGTCCTTTTTGAGAATCTCAAGAAAAGAAGGAATACATGTACTACCTTTGTAGCAGGCACTTAGTCTCAGTAAAATCAAAATTTCCTGATGCGATTCAGCCATCAACAGTAGCAGCTTCGTAGCAGTGTGTCTTATGACTGGACTAGGAGTTGATAAAAGCTTGAAAACAACTTCATCTAAAATTGAATGCAGGGTTTTTCCTTCTATTCTCAGTAAATCACCACTAACAGAACAAAAAAAAAATTAAACAATTAAAAATGTACCATTACTAATTGATGCATCGGTATCACAACAAATTAAACATAAAAGGTTCAGCAACTTGATGCCTGACTGTGGCCTGATCCAAGAAGATAACCAGTTTTTTAAAGCCATAGCTTAGTTCCAAGAATACATCACATTAAATCAACTAGTATTTATTGAATTCTTACTGTACGTAAAGCACCATGTTGGGTAAAATAGCAAATACAAAGCATCCAGAGGCCCTCTCCTCAGAGAAACTGCAATCAAATTGTAGTGGAAAGATAAATGTGCAAAATACTAAACAGATGATTCAAAAGCTTCAAGGCAACATTAAGAGGAAAATCACAAGACAGAACATGTTTCATTGCTTAATGATGTACGAAGACAAAAATGCTATAGGAATTCAATTATTGTGTACTTAACATAGGAGGAACTTTCTCTTTCCTTTGGTATTTCCTTCATTATAACTAACAACCTCATCTTACCTTATGTCATAAAAAATTATCTGAAATTTACAAATAACTAAAAAGAGATTACTGGGTGTCCTTTTACTCACCCCACTTAAGGAGTATGTGATTTTCTAGGGGTGTGTACCTTTGTTTGACTATTTCCTATTGATTAGGATATTTTGCAATTCTGTAAAAGTAGAGGTTGTCTTGCAGAAAATGAGTAACAGCAATGACTCTTAGAGCAATGCAAATAGATTCTTATTTGACAACAATATAAACGACTTTTGTCCAGTAAAAAAAGTAACTGTAAAAGTTGTACCTGATACTCTCTACCCGAATTATTCAGCTTCTGAGATACTATGTTCATCTGGTCCCCCTCAACCCTCCACCTACAGATTTCTGACCATTCTTTCTCAGTCTTCTTCATTAGCTCCTCTTTTCCAGCATACCCCTTTAAAGGTTATTCCTCAGGATTCCATTTCAGCCCACTTCCTTTCTCACTCGTATTTCCCACTGAGCTCATCTTCTCTCATATTTTTAACTATCATTTCTAGGCTGACAATTCATAAATCTCTAACTCTAGTCAAGATCTCTTCTAGAAATAATAGTTTATCTATTCATCTGCTGATGGACACTTGAGTCACCTTGTCTTTAGCTATTAAAAATAAAGCTGCTTATGAATATTTATGTACAAGTTTTTGCAGGGACTCTTATTTCACTGCCTGCTGAATATATCCACCTATGTTCAACATAACCAACAGTGAATTCATCATCTGTCTCCCCAACAAAGTAATTCTATATGCTTTGTTTTGGTTATACCACTGTCTATCTAATTACCCAATACTGATCACTTGGTGTCATGCCTGAATGCATCCTTTATCCTATCCCATATCAAAATGCTCACCAAGGCCTGATGATTTTTTATTTTTAATAGATTCATTAAAATATAATTTATACAAAACAAATACACATATTTAATGTGTACAGTTTGATAAGTTTTGATGTTTCACCACTACAATCAAGATAATGAACATATCCACCACTCCACAAAGTTTCCTTGTGCTTCAGCGTAGTCCCTCCCTCCTTGCTCTCCTTGGCACCCAGGCAACCAATGATCTGCTTTCTCTAACTATAAATTAGTTTACATTTTCTAGAATTTTATACAAATGGAATCACACGGTATGTCCTTTTTTTTGCCTGCCTTCTTTCACTCAGCACAATTATCTTGATTTTATCTGTGTTGCTACATGTATGAGTAGTTCATTCCTGTTTACTGCTGAGTAGTACTCTATTATATTTACCACAGTTTATCCATCAGTTGATGGACATTTGAGTTGTTTCTAGTCTTCGGCTATTACTAATAAAAGCTGGTATGAATACTTGTGCACAAGTCTTTGTAAGAACATATGCTTTCACTTTCCTTGGGCAAATACCTAGGAGTGGAATGGATGGCTAACATGGTAGGTGTATGTTTCCTTGTTAAGAAACTGCCAAACTATTTTTCAAAGTGATTGTACTATTTACCACTCCAACCAGCAGTGTATGAGTTTCTCCATATCCTTGTCAACATTTGGGTCAGTCAGTGTTTTAAATCTTAGCCTTTTAACAAGTGTGTAGCAGTATCTCCCTAATGACTCATGGCGCTCAACATCTTTTCATGTGCTTGTCCACCATCTATATATCTTCTTTCACAAAGTGTCTGTTCAGATCTTGTGCCCATTTTTCAAACTGAGGTTTTTTCTATTTTTAAATTTTGACAGTTCTTTATTCATTCTGGATACAAATACTTAAGATATGTGCTTTGCAAATATTTTCTGCCAGTCTGTGCCTCGTCTTTTTTATTTTCTTAAACAGTATCTTTTGAACAGCAGACTTAAAATTTTGATCAAGTCTAATTTATCAATTTCTTCTTTTCTGGATTTTCCCTTGGTGTTAATCTAAGAATCTAAGCAATTTTGCACAATCCAAGGTCATAATGGTTTTCTACTATTTTTTTTATAAGTTTTATAGTTTAGGTTTTACATTTAGGTCTATTATCCATTTTGAATTAATTTTTGTATATGGTAAGCATTACAGATCAAAGATAAGAGTTACAGATCAAAATCCTTTTCTTTACATATTGAAAGCCAATTGTTCCATGATCCTTTCCTCCTGAATGACCTTTACATTTTCTCTTGAAAAATCAACTGTTCATATATGTATGAGTCTATTTCTGGATTCCATTCTGTTCCATTGATATATTTGTATATCTTTGCACCAAAATCTCATTGTCTTAATTATGTTAGCTTTATTAAAAAAAGGTCTTAAAATTAGGTAGTGTTAGCTCTCCAACTTTATTCTTCATTTTCAAAGCTAGTTAGGCTATTTTATATTTTAGGTGCTTTGATTTTCATAGAATTATAGAAATGGGCTTGTCAATTTCTGCAAAAATGGTATTTTGATTAGGATTGTGTTTAAGGTATATATCAATTTGGAAAGAACTGAGATCTTAACAATATTGCATCATTGATCAACACGGTTTACCTTTCCATTTATTTACCTATTCTTTAATTCCTCTCAGCAATATATAGTTTTAAGTAAATACATCTTTCACATCTTTCATCAGATTTAACCCTACGCATTTCATATTTTTTGTGCTATTGTAAATTGCAATATTTTCAATTTCAGAGTATTAATTGATGGATATAAGAATTCAATTTATATTTTTATATTGATTTTGTATCCTACTACCCTTGCTATACTCACTTATAATTTTAGTGGCTTTGCACATTCTGTTGGATTTTATGTATAGATTACAGTGTCATCTCCAAACACAGAAAGTTTTAGTTCTCCCTTTCTGTATGGATCACTTTTCTTTTTCTTGCTTGACTGTACTGTAGGCAAGAAAGTCCAATGTAACGTTGAATAAAAGTGATCAGAGTGGACATTCTTATCTTATTCATGATCTTATAGGGAAAATATTTATTATTTTACCATTAAGTATCTTAGCTGTAGGTTTTTCATAGATGTTCTTCATCAGGCTGAGGAAGTTCTACCTTCTATTAATACTCTGTTGGGAGTTTTTTTTTAAACCAGGAATGGATGTTGAATTTTGTCAAATGCCTTTTCTGCATCTATTGATATGATGATATGTTTTTCCTTTTTTGGTTTGTTAATATGATGAATCGTATTGATTGACTAGAATATTACACCAGTTGTGAATTTCTGGGATAAACCCAACTTATTCAAGATGTATTAACTAGCATTTTTGCATCTACGTTCATTAGTATATTACTGAGTAGTTTTCTTATAATGTCTTTGTCTAGTTTTGGTATCAGGGTAATGCTGACCCCATCAATGAGTGGGGAAGTAATTCCTTCTCCTCAATTTTCTGGAGGAGTTTGTTTAGGATTATTTCTTCCTCAAATGTTTAGTAGAATTTATCAGTGAAGAAGTCGTCTGGTCCTGGAGTTTTCTTTGTGGGAAGTGTTTTAACTACAAATTCAATTTATAGTTATAGGGCTATTCAGGTTATCTATTGCTTCTTGAATGAGTTTTGGTAGTTTGTGTCTTTCAAAGAACTTACCCATTTAATCTAGATAAACATAAAGTTGTTCATATTATTCTCTTATGATATTTTAAATTTCGATAGACTCTATTGTGTTGTCTCCTTTCTAATTCCTGATATTGGCAGTTTGCACTCTCTTTTTTTCCTGATCAGTCTTGTTATAGGTTTAATTTCATCAGTCTTCTCAAAGAACCAGCTTATGGTTTCACTGATTTTTCTCTATTGTTTTTGTATACTATTTTATTGATCTCTGCTTTGATCTTTATGATTTCTTCTGCTTACTTTAATTCTTTCTTCTTAGTTTCTTAAAGTGGATGCTGAAGTCAATGATTTTTTTCTTTTCTAATATAGGCATTTAGTGATGTAAATTTTCCTATAAGTACTGCTTTAATTTAGATGTATCCCAGAAATATGGATATGTTTTCATTTCCATTCACTTAAAAATAATTTATAACTTAATTTTTTATTTCTTCTTCATCCTTTGGGTTAGATACACGTTACTATTTGCCAGATATCTGGAGATTCTTCAGAGATCTTCTTGGTATTAATTTCCAGTTTAACTTCACTGAGGCCAGAGAACATACTTTGTATGACAAAATCCTTTTAAGTTTATTCAGACTTGTTATACGGCCCAGAAAATGGTCTCTTCGTAAATATTCCATTTGCATTTGGAAAGAATGTGCATTCTGCCATTGTTTGATAGATTGTTCTAAAAATGTCAATCAGGTCAAACTGATATTGCTGTTCAAATCTTCTGTAGTCATACTAATTTTTTGCCTACCTATTCTATCAATTATCAAGTGAGGGATATTGACATCTTTCACTTTAATTGCAGATTCATCTATTTCTCCTTGTAGTTCTATCAAGTTTTGAAGCTCTGCTATTGGGTCAATAAACATGTTTTCTTGGTGAATTGACTTCTTTATTATTATGAAATAACTTTATCACTGGTAATATTCTTTGCTCTGAAGTTTACTTTTTCTGATATTAATATAGGCACTCCAGCTTTCTTTTGACTAGTGTTAGCATGGCATATCTTTTTTCATGCTTTTACTTTTAAGCATACAATAGTATGCTTCCATTTCTCTCCTCCCAGTCTTTATACTATTGCTGTAATACATTTTACTAATACGCATGTTTTAAAACCCCCTTATCTTTGTATAAGCAAATGTTATATTACATATAATACTGTCATAATAAGAAAAATAATTTTATACAGTTACCTATATAATTATCATTTCTAATCATCATTCCTTTGTGTAGATCTACTTTCCTTCTGGCTAAAGAACTTCCTTAAACATTTCTTGTAGTGTGGCTCTGCTGGTGACTTCTGAAAAAGTTATTTTGCCTTTGTTTTTCCAACATATTTCTGCTAGGTATAAAATTCTAGTTTGACAGTTGTTTTCTTTCAGTATTTTAAGGATATTGCTCAACTATCTTTTTGCTTGTGTTGTTTCTGATGAGAAAGTTGCTGTCATCCTTATCTTCATCCTCTGTATGTATATAATGTCTTTTCTCCCCCCTGGCTGCTTTTAAGATTTTCTCTTTATCGCTGGTTTGAGCACTTTGATTACAACGTGCCTTGGTGTAGAATTTTCTTCATATTTATTGTCCTTGGGGTTTAATGAGCTTTTTTAATCTGTAAGATTATAGTTTTTATCAAATTTGGGCGAGCCGGCTCCGTGGCCGAGTGGTTAAGTTCGCGGGCTCCGCTGTGGTGGCCCAGGGTTCGGATCCTGGGCATGGACATGGCACCGCTCATCAGGCCATGTTGAGGCAGTGTCCCATATCCCACAACTAGAAGGACCTGCAACTAAGATATACAACTGTGTACAGGGGGGGTGGGAGTGGGGGGGGGGGGGGGGGAGGTTGGGGAAATAAAGCAGGAAAAAAAAATTTGGAAAATTTTCAGCCACTATTTCTTCAAATATTTTCTTCTGATTTTACTACCTCTTTTAGATACTCTGATTATACCTATATAAAGCTGTTTGAAACAGTTATCCAGATCACTGATTCACTGATGTGCTTTTCTTTCTTTCTCTCTTCCCTCTCTCTCTCTTTTTCATTCCTTTTCTCTGTTCATTTCATTTTGGATAGTTTCTATTGCTATGTCTTCAAGTTGACTAATCTTCTGCAATATTAATCCTGCCTGGTGTATTTTTCATCTCAGAGATTGTAGTTTACATGTCTACATGAAAGTTCAGTTTGAGTCTTATGTCATATATGCCTCTATTCAACTTTTCGAACATATGAAATAATAACTGTCCTAATGTTGTTGTCTATTAATTCTAACATACTTGATCTTGATCAACTGATTCTTCTCATTATGGGTCCTGTTTTCCTGCTTGTTTGCATGCCTGGCACTTGCATGAATTTTATCTCGTTGGGTGCTGGATATTTTTGTATTGCTAAAAACATTTTTGAGTTTTCTTCTGGCTAGAGATTTTCAAGTGCCATATACAAATCATGTGCAACCAACGCTTTAGCAAAACTGGTATCAAATTGATAATGCTTCTAAGCAAAAGTAGCAACATTTTGTAAAACCAAGTCGATCTGCAGAATGTTCTATAGCATAGTTATGATTGTAGATTCTATCTGAACACTGTCAGTTTGTAGTAACTGCAAGAAATGATCACTTTGTATTACTAAAGGAAGAGAAAAAAGAGATCAAAGCAAAGATTCTTTGATAGCACAAGTGGGATTTTCTCATCCTTTTAAAGCCAAATCAAAGCATGACCATTTCTGCTAAACTTCCTGCCTGTGTATACTTTATAACAAAGACTTTAAGATGTAGGCAGTTTCAATAACTAGATGCAGTTAAGTTACTCAGACATAACTTGATCCTTTCAGGTCTTGCTTTTATTTTGTTTGGATGGTCCAGAATAGTGCTCAGTTTAGTGCTAATTATCCCCTCGTTACCAAGGAGAAACCTTCCTGAATACTATACGCAATGTGCCACTATTCATGAGGCTTTCCAGTTTGGCTGTTGGAATCAGGCAGTATTCTTGGCTCTGTGTGAGGTTCCGGTACTCTTCCTTTTAATTCTTTGGACTACTGTCTGGGTGGTTTCCTCACATGTATGTGTTGATGAGTACTCTACTGAATACTTGAAGGGGACCCTCTGCAGATCTCTGGCGTTCTGCGTGTACCTCTTTCTTCTGTGGTATTCTATCTTGTGAACTCTTGCCATTTGTTCTCCCCAGACTCTCAGCAATATCTCTTCAACTCAGTCTCGCTAGGTTACCCCTAACACAGCTTGAAAACTCTCTCAATGCTATAAGTTAGGAAAACTGTTAGGTTCACCTTGTTCATTCCTTTTTCTCAGGACTCATGTTCTTTCATTGACTGAAGTCCAGTTTCATGTTTTGCCTGGTGTTTATTTTTTTCAGGTGGTAGGGTAAATCTATTTCTATTATTCTATCTCAATCACAAGTGGAACTGAAGTCCTGATGATTTTAATTCACTATTTTATAAAATCCATTCTCCTGGAACCAATGCCCAAGGCTAAGATTTTATTACTTCACTTGGATAACTATGGTTGCCAGCATCCTCTAACTGCCTTCTTTGTCTAGAGTTTTGTCCCCCTTAAATCTTTCCTCCATGCAGTGACCAGGGTGACATAAGTGAAATGTAATCTGACCATTTTCATCCACTTTAAAAATCTTTCAATGGCCCCCAATGCCTATGGGATAAGACTTAGTTTCCTTAACACAGCACATAAACTCTTCATAACTAAGTCTCTGCAAACCTTGCTAGCCACCTCCACATACCAAACTTTAAACACTAGCAACAACAAATTGTATCTACTTTTCACCCTCAGCATGTTGTTTCTTATCTCTGTGCATTTGTTCATGTTGTTACCTCTCCCTAGAAATACTGCCTCCTTCTTCCCTGGCTAATTTCTCATCCTTAAAGTTTCATTTCAGCTGTTAACTTCTCCAGGAAGTGTTCCTTGTAAGTTTGAGGTACTCTTGCACACACCTTTAACATCCTAAGTTAATATACTATAACAGAATTATGTTCGTGTGTCATTGTCTTCCATTATACGCTACGCTATTTAAAGACAAGGTTTATATCTTAACTTTGTAAACTGAGTGACAGACACATACTTGGCATATAGTAGATGCTTAATAAATCCATATTGAACTGAAAAAATCAATTATTTCAACTGTTTGTACTCTGCCTTTCCATTTTAACCTGGGGAAATTTCCTATTACTACTTTTATGCCCTTCTACAGCACCTGGCATGATAGTGAGTTTGCTAAATAAATATATGATTAAGCATTTTTTACTGTGATCCCAATGGTTTTCTTGAGATGTCACAGTAATTTTTCTTCTCTAAGCCTGAGATTTGGTCTAAAATCTTCTTAAGCTCTCAGATAAGATAGGAACCAGATAATAAATTTCCAGTCTTTTGTGGTGTTTTATATTCTTTTTTTCCCTTAAAGACAAAGTTAATAATAGAGCTTTGTAAGTGTCACATACAACCATATGCAATTGATGATGTCAGCAAAACTGGAATAAAATTGGTAATGCTTCTGATCAAAAATTAAAAATTATATTTTGTAAAACCAAGTCACCTGTTGATCTGTAGTATGCTCTGTAGCATAGTCATGACTGTAGATCCTATTTGAACATTGTCAGTTTGCAGTAAGTGCAAGAAATGATCACTTTGTAGTACTAAAGGAAGAGGAAAAAAAAGAAAGATTAAAACAAAGATTCTATGATGATACAATTGGGATTCATTTGTGCTTTCAAACCCAAATCAAAGCATGACAATTTCTGCTAAACTTCCTGCCTTTGTATACTTTACAATAAATGATTTTATTATAAATACAATGCACAAAAAAAATGACTTTAAGATAGGCAGTTTCAATAACTATAAATAGGCATTCCATTTTTATAAACAGTTATAAATGGAAAGCATCCACAAATACCAACCTAAGAAAATCTATAATCTCCCCTTAAATTAAAAATAAAATATAACATATCCTAAATCTGAAACTCTTTTTCTAGCAGTGAATTTAGTAAATAAAATCAAATTTCCTGTGAAGAAGAGAGAATATAAAGGAATGGAAATGGTGCAGATGACTGTAATCAGTGGCCTACGTCCTTAGAAAACTTGCTATATATCATGTTTGCTAATATCTTAAATAATAATGAAATCATTAACTATAGAACATTTGTTTTCACTGGTTTATAATTTTTAGGCTCTGAGCAGCCAGTTATAAAGACTTGGCATTGGATGCTTATGCAAGTTGCTTAACCTCTCAGAACATCCATTTCTTCATCTGTAAAACCATAAATAATAGCTCTGTCACAGGCTACTACTGCACAGTGTCCTAGAACAGAGCAGGTTCCCAGTAAATGTCGGTTTCTATTCCCTGCTCTGCTAACTGACCAGAATTTTAATTAAAGTGGGCTCAGGTATGCTGGCATGGCAGCTGTATGAACACTACCCTAGCTTCTACAGAACAACTTCACTATTCTCCTCTTTCTATCTCCTGAGGGAACATATTTGATTTCTTTCACATACTAACTATTGTTCTTCATTTCTATCTACATAGTCCAATATTTCAGTATTTTGCCAGACACCAATTCTTTTAAAATGTTTAACAACTTCAAAAACAATTCCACGGGCTGGCCCCGTAGCTAAGTGGTTAAAGTTCCGTGTGCTCTGCTTCAGCAGCCCCAGGTTTGTGGGTTCAGATCCCGTGTGCAGACCTACTCCACTCATCAGCCATGCTGTGGAGGCATCCCACATACAAAGTAGAGAAAGACTGGCACAGATGTTAGCTCAGGGCAAATCTTCCTTGCAAAAAAAACCCAATTCAACTACTATTAAATATTTCTATGGCATATTTTTTATTAACTCAATATTAAAAACTTCTCTCCTGTAGCTGGGATAAGTATATTATTCCATTTTGTCCATTTCCATTTATTAATAACTATTTCATTAACTTTGAATTCACTGAAATCATGTAATAAGTAGTGTGTTTATAAGTTTATCTTTTTTCCACATTGAAAAAATTAATAATTTATTAAATAGTCATTCCATTTTATTTTTATACTCTTTGTCTTGTATTATTATATAATTTATTTTTGGAGCCCTATTCTATTTTTCAAGTGTAGTCAGATAATTATGTGGTTCTCCAAATAAGAACTGAGACTTTTACCCATTTCTTTGTTTAAACTTTTTATAGTAAAAATTTCAAACCTACATAAGAGCAGAGAGAAGAGTATAATGACTCTGTATGTACCAGTCATTCAACTTTAACAACGATCAACTTTTATAGCCAATTTTGTTTCACCTATTCCATCCACTTCGTGCCTATTTTATTTTGAGGCAAATCCAAGACATCAAGTCATTTTACCCGCAAATATTTCAATATATATTCCCAAAAGGTATGAATAATTGAAAAATAAAACATAACCAATATCTAACCTAAATAATCATGATTCCTTAATTTTATCAAATATCCAGTACATGTTCCAATTTCCAACTGTTCTGAGAATTTTCAAAAGTTAGTTTTGAGTCAAGATCCAAATACGACTCACACAGTGTAATTGGTTAGCTTTCAAATTTCTTTTAATCTATGGATTCCTCTTCTACTTTTTTTTTCCCTCTTGCAATTTATCTGTTGACGAAACTACGTCAATTGTCCTATAAGCTTCCCACAGTCTCGTTTTGCTAACTGCATTCCTGGAGTGTAATTTAATATGTTTCTCTGACCTTTTATAAATTGGCAGTTGGAGCTAGAGGATCAAAATGGCTTGGGTCTGAATTTTTGGCACATAAATTTCATATGTGAGGTTATGATGAGCCATTAGGAGGCACTTAACATCTGGTTGTCTCTCTTTTTGATATGTTGACAGTGCTGGATGATTAATTCCTAAATCTGTTAATTCATTCACTAAGGGTTGCAAAATGTAACTATTTTATCATACCTTTTTCACATACTAGTTGGAATATTTTTATAAAGAGAAATTTCTCCTCATCAATATGTAAGAAAAGAGAGGATAAATGCTGGATCCTTCATTTACCAGTTTTCAAAATGAAGTGGTTCTCTAGCGGACTATAATGATAATTTTTTAAGAGTCTCACTATATTTGAGATGTTTCAATCCACTATATTTATTATCTTTATTACTGTTCCAGCTTCCCAGTTTTGGCTGGAAGAAGCCTCCTTATGTTGCCTTTTGAGTCCTTTTCACAGAATCCTAATAGACTTTGATTGCTTCCCTCATATCTGGTATTCAAGATTTCTCCAAGGAGCTAATTCTTTTAGAGAAAAGGTTGTTGGAGAACCCAATTTTGTACCCATTTATTTTTTGCATATGGATTTTAAAATTGTTTAACTTAGTTTTAATATCTACTTTATTGACATTTTAAATCTCAGATTGACCTGAGGAACATTGTCATTTGATATAGTTACTATTTTCAAAAAGGAATATGACTTATTTTTTAAATTATTCAAGTATTCTCTCTCTTGCTGTCTCTCTCTTTACTAGGCCTTTTACATTCCACTACAGTGAGACTAAGTACTTCATATTTTTTGTAAAATAGTTCTTTAAATTGGGAACTTTATAATATTTGTCCCATAATGGGAAATGAATAGACAATGCTTAAAAAGAAAAGGGAAGTATCTAAGCATGTTACTTAGCTCTATATGGATATAGTTGCCAAAAGTATTAGTTGTCCTAATTGAAAGTAGCTGCCTTTGGAAAATGGGAAATGGAGTGAGGCAGCCAGGGATTGTGGTTTGTTAAAAACAATCCTTACAGAACTATTTGACTCTTTATGTGCATGCATAATCCTGAGAGAAAAAAATTAAGTAAAAAATAAAAATTCAGTTCAACTTTTATTTTCTAAAAAAAAATCAAACACTGTTCTTATATTGTTCTTATATAGTTACATTTATGTTAGATTAAATCTTTAAAGAGGATAGGAATGTTGCCATGATTATCATTAAGGATTACTTTATGAGTCTTAAAAAAACATAATATAAAACTAACATATATTTATACTTCTCAATCTAAGTGTAGAAATACCCAAAAAATCACTTTTAAGTTCAGTAAGATGTCATTATATAAAAGCTTACTCTTACATGAATACTTACACTAGGAGTTAAATCATATCTACTCTGTACATAGAGATTTCTCTCACACTAAGTCTAAAATACAACTTTAATCGTTGAAACTTAAAAATTTTTTTCCATAGACTAAATTGTTAAAATTATCAACTATTATCTTGGATTTGCTAAATAGAAAAAGCTAAGGAGAAAGTTATATCTTAGCAATTTTCCTCTAAAAATAATATTCACACTGCCAATGTTGGCTATTTAAAGCTAGAACATCCAAATGGGCTTTTATTTTTTAGTTTGGGGGGTTATTTCAAGGTGGTTTCATTTAACTATGGTTATCTGTATAGTTAAGAAGGTATTTATTTTTAGGAAAAAAGATGAAACTGTTAGAAGTGACTCTACAATGACTATCAGTTACATTAAAAATCTTATCTCTTACCACTTTGGATGAGTTGAACATGGTCTCCCAAAAGCCAGAAGAGAGAATCAGTCACAATTTGGAAAAAGTGTAGTAATTCATCTTTTTCTTCACCCTTCACACACACAAAAATTCAATTTACTTTTCTGTAATTGTTTGATTGAAAAAAAAGAGACTTCTCTCTGGGGAGTCAGAGGACCTGGTTTCTGGATCTAATTTAGCTACTTATGAGGTGCATGATCTTGTAGCCTTCAGTTTCTTAATTTATAAAAAATTAATGTGTCGTTATAGGCTAGTAATACTCTACTTATTAGAAATGGTTGTTATCCAGAGGTCAAATGAGACAATATAAGTAGTATAAGACCTACGAGCTGATGCACTAGCATTTCTCAACACTGGCTATGCATCAGAATCACCTGAGAAGCTTTTTCTAAAATACCCATGCACAGGCTTTAGTCCAAACATAAGGACTCTGAATCTCCAAAGTTAAAGTCTGGACATGCGTATTTTTACAAAGTTAGGTGGGTGATTTGGTTATGCAGCCAGGGTTGAAAATCACTGCATTATGGAAAAGTAGGTATCAGTATGTAAAGCACTACTATTAGTGCACTGCCGTTGCAGCTTCTACTCCATGACTCCATGAGACCTAAAAGGCCATGTCATTTAGCTCTCCACCATACACTCAGTGTCTAAAACAGCTCTGACACACAGTAAATGTTCAATAAGTATTTATTCAATAAATAAATGACAATTTTTTCTGCTTCCTCCTTTCTGGAAAGTAGGGTGAGAAATTATTCTAGATTAGGGTACGTACCACAATGAGAAATAAGAAACAGATTCCATTCACATTCTGTCATTTACTGGCCATGAAACTTAAGCAAAAAGTTGTATAAAGGCCACTAATCTTATCCATGTCCTGAATGTTTGTACTGTAGCACAAAAGTAACGATGGCAACAGCAAAAACATTATGATCACTATGATTATTCTCCACAACAATGAATGTATTTTCTATTATTCTAGCATAGATTTAGATAGGTGCCTAAATAGACATGTGCTAACTTAAATATAATAATCAAAAACAAAAAACAGAATTGTCACATTAGATCAAGAATCTTTTTAGTCCAATAAACTGCCTTTGCCAGTTTCACCAAAAGACACAGCAGAAAGGGCATGATAATCCTCATTACTGTCAATCTCAAAGGAAAGTGCTGGGCTCCTATACTTCCTACTTTCCTTAAAAACTCACTAGATAATGTCACCCATAAATTCATAGCTCCCAAGACTGATTAATAAAATTCACCCTTAAATCACTTCAAAATTCTTGCATAGGTGATTTTCTATTCTTTTTTTTTTTTTTTAAAGATTGGCACCTGAGCTAACAACTGTTGCCAATCTTTTTTCCCCCCTGCTTTTTCTCCCCAAATCTCCCCAGTATATAGTTGTACATTTTTTTAGTTGTGGGTCCTTCTAGTTGTGGCATGGTGTTTTTCTATTCTTATATATAAAACATATATATATGTATGTGCATACATACATATGTATGTGTATACATACATATGTATGTGTATATATGTATACGTGTGTGTATATTTTAACCAGTTTGCAGTTTAGGCCAGACCATCCTGTGTATGTCCCGCTATGTGATCTACTACCTATATGCTGGCTAATTAAAAAAAAAAAATTGATTGGGAATCACCTAGGTAGACAGAACTATTAAATAAATTCAGTTTTCTTGTTGTCTCCTTTTTATCCCATTTTAACTTTGCCCTGTGATCAAATGGCCCTCTTTTTCTATAGATGATTTATTTCTCTTGACGTATGTACTAAAGAATTTTTTATCTCTATACAAACCCCATTATAAAGAATAGGAAAGTATTATGAAAAGTACTAAAGTATTTAAACAGAAAGAATACATTATTGCCCTTAAAGGAGGAATATTAAAGCACTTTGAAGAAAATGCAAAGCTTTCATAATGGTCTGAGCTATTCATGAGATAGAAATCACTTTACAAAGGAAGAAACTGAGGTAGAATGAAATCAAGTGATTTGCCTAAGAACCCAGAGTAAGTCTGCAGCAGAGCCTGAAGAAGAAATCAAGTCCAACGCAATTTCCATAGTTCATGCCACTTTAACTGACCTGAATTAAATTAAATCTAGCAAATATACAAATATTTATTTAGTGCTAGCATCCCTCAAAATGCGACTGGAAATGCTACAAGTAGAATTTGTGACCTATTACACAGAAAGCATATACTCCACCACTTAAATTCTCTGCCAACAATGCCTCTTATATCCAAACCACTATGCTGTCCATATTATTGTACATCTCATTCAATTTCACTCATAATTTTTTTATTTAATGTTTTTTTGAATTAAAAATACATCTGTCAGTTTTCTATAAGAAGCAGCTAAAACTGCTGTCTACTTTATTAGCCTGGGAGTTCTTTAAGTGCAAGACTGTGTCTATTCCTTATATACTCAAAGCATCTCAAATGGAACTGAACATCCCATGGTGACTTAGTTATACACAACTGCAGACTTCACATTCAAGTATACAGAGACCTTGCTTTTGCATGGTACCATGTTAAATGAAACTTGTGCATATCAAAACCTTTACATGGTTCTGATATGTGTGAGTTTCAGTTAAGACAGCACTGCACAAAGCAAGGACTGCTTGTAGTGAAACATTCACCAAGATAAAACACACAGAGGGCCATAAAACAAGTCTGAAAATATTTCAAAGGATTGAAATGATACTGAGTATGCTACCTCACCACGATAGAATTAAATTAGAAATCCCTAATAAAACATGAAGAGAATCCTCAAACATTTGGAAATTAAACATCATACTTCTAAACAACCCATGTGTCCAAAAAAGAAAGAGTATATGCAGCATGTAACACAATTCACCCAAGAAATATTGTTGTATTGAAATGACCCTTACGTTTGAGTTGAAATATTTTGGTTAGAGAAGATTTAAAAGATCAAACAGAAAGTTCACCTTTATTCTTCACCACTGGAGCTAGCGGGAAAAGCCTTGGGCCTAGAGAACAATACTTGACTGTTCATTTAAGTAAAAGGTATGTTTTAGGAAGATGCTATGAAAATAAATGTCTGTGAGTGCACCTCAAAGTTGAGTAGTAAGGCAAATCCTTCAAAATGTCATACAGTATGCTTCAGCCAGCACTTTAAAATTTTCAAAACCAGAGATTTTTTTGGGAGGAGGGGAGTTGCAACTTTAAAAATGTTTGAATCCACTACTCTAATTGTACATTCAGCCAAATACTGCAACATTTGAAAAAAATATGGAACATCTTCTCAAGAATTAAACTGTTTTGGCTAAAAAACACTAATGAAACACATATACCTTAGCTGCATTGATGAAGCAGGTTTGCAATCGCCTCCCCAAAACCAGAAAATTTTCTGCAGCTGAGGGAAGTAATTCACTGTAAAATTCCTCTGCATCTTCTCCTGGCTCCAAGCCCACACAGCAATGGCTGAAATAAGAGCACAAGTTTGTGACTCAGTTTGTGTTAATTATAAATTTCAGTTGAATGCTAAAGCTTCTACAGACACTGTACCTTTAATGAGAACTTTTAGTATCTTTCTTTTGTTCCCAAGACAATAAGAACTTCTGCTGGAAAATTAGTATAACAACTTTCCAGAAAAGTAAACAGTGGTGTGGGCTTTACCAGGACTCATATGTCCTAACAACCTATTTGTCAACCCTTCAGGAAACAAAATACACTTGGCTCATAATAAAGAAAAATGAGGCAAGTTTTCAGTGAATGAGCTACACTCTAAAAGCAATACGATATCTTGAGCCCATAATTCATTTGTGTTAACTGATACATTTGAGACATCTGATAGCTGAAAAATACCCAGGGTAGCATTAGTCTGCAAGGGACAGATTAGGAAATCAAACATTCTAATTTTATATCAATTCTACTTTCCAATAAATCTACTTTCCTAAAATCTACAAAGTATCTGACTGCATATTCCTTATATCAGAAGGAGAAAGAGCAAAAATCTAACTCTAGGAGGAACACTTTACAAGAAGAGAAAGTCATTTAGAGAAATGGACCCTCTTGAAACTGCAAATAAAAGTCACTCTCTGGAAATAAAATGAGTAATTCAGAAGTCTCAATAACAAAAGGTATTTATGTAGACTAATACCATAAAAAGGCTCCAATCCAAGAATGGTCTCTATGTGTATACTCTAATAAGTAAGTACTGCTGTTTGAGGCTTCTCACAAAATGTGCAGACACTGATAAGCAATAGTAACTACCTACTGAGTATGCTAAAAATTTAACTGGCTAATGCTCAGTGTATCACGTTTTGGTTTTTTTTTTTCACATCAATTCCTAAAGTTAATGGACTAATGCTCACATTTATTAGTTTCTCTTTTCTCTTTGGTTCCTAAAGTTAACTATTTAAGAGTACCTATTTTTTTTTTTGCTGAGGAAGATTCACCCTGAGCTAACATCTGTGCCAATCTTCCTCTATTCTGTATGTGGTTTGCTGCCACAGCATGGCCATCAACAAGTGGTGTAGGTCTGCACCTGGGAACTGAACCTGGGCCACTGAAGTGGAGAGCACCAAACTTAATCACTAGGCCACAGGGCCAGCCCCAAGAGTACTTATTTTGATTGAGATCATTAATAAATGAAATGTTTTTTGTGCATTCACAATCACGGGGATTTCTTAAGACTTGGATTCCACCCCCCGAGACCTTATCTCAAGCAATATTTTCAAGAGCTAACATATTTAATCAAAACAAAGACACAAGATTTTATTTACTTAAGGTAAAATAATCTTGAAAATTAAAGTATAAAAAAGAATATTATGTACATTTGTTGTTTTTTCTACTGTATACCTTGAATCTGGCCTTTATCAGGAGTAAGTAGTTTTGAAAGCTAAGATCTAATTAATAATGCACGCTTTCTGTTACTTAATTAGGAAGTGGCTTAGACACTGAGAACATCTGGTTTATTTTATTGCCTCCTTTAAAAAAAAGATTCTGATCTCTTTTCTCTTAATTTCTACCACAGCAGTAGATCAGTAAATGCTACTTCTAAATTTTATATATATATATAGTTGAGATATATATATAGTTGAGATAGCTAAACCAATACAAAATGAAACAAACTGTTTCTGTTCTCCTATAGTACTTTGCTACGCTTTTCATTTCAGCACCTATTTCATTCTGCCTTGTATGATATCTTCATTTCTATCTTAATATCTTCATTTCTTCATATATTCCTTAGTCAATAAAGAGTCTGTTAGGTACTTGGGATTTCGTAGTGAGCAAAGACATGATCACTATCTTCATAGAGCTTATGGAGTAAAATTTTAGACAGTGAAATATTCACAAATACAAAGTTATGAATAATAATATTTAGTATGAAGGAAAAGTACAACCATAAACCTACCACAGGATGCTGCCACTGCTTGTTAGGCAGATGAATAAAAAGGAGCAAATGTTGAAAGTAAGAATCTACTACTACATTCCTCAAGAACAAGCTCACTTACTGCTTCATTTTACCTTAATATCTGTGTAAGCTGGGAAATTGTAGTCCAACCACCCTGGATCCGAGAACAATCTTGACTGAGGACCAAGAGGCAATATTGAATGAGGTCATAACAATATATATCTTGTTTGATTTTCTTCAACTCTGAGCTTCCTAAAGGTGTGTTGTTTATTATTTCTAAGGCAAAAGGAAATAAGATATACTTATTTTTGTTCAATAAATCCAAGAGCTATCTGTATTTCTGTAGGTTGAATAATAACTAAAAATTCATTAAAAAAGAAAAAGAATCACTGTTTTATCACAATCCTAAGACTTCTCTGTACAAATCAGAAACAAATGCTAAAATTGTACCCATGATGGAACTGTTTTGTTACTTAAACAGTGTTAGCCAATCACAAAAAGATTTTCTTACCTTTTAACTTCAACAATATAACAGGGACATTCTGCTCAGGACTTTTTGCAACTTCAGCAGCTAGAGATAAGATCCTTGGGTCTGTACCTATTGGCTTCATTTCTCATATCACCTATATTTTAACAGATTCAGAAAAATAAAGGTCAAACGGCCCTAAAATATTCACTCCCTAGGTAATGTCTGAAGTATAGTTTCAACATAAATGAAAACTTAGCTTTGCCTGCTTTGTTTGAGAAGTTAAGGATAGATTTTTCCATTTCTTCCTTATAGAAAACTCTGGCTTTTCTAATTAGTGTACCTCTAAAAGAGCTAGAGACCCTTATACCTTACTATAACAGCTACTGTGGGTGTTGTTTATTGTGCACTAAGAGTCAGGAACTGTGCTTGGTGCTTCACATTCACTCTGTAATCTGCACAACAATCCTAGAATAGGAATTTTCTTTTATCATAAAAGAGAAACTGTGCAGAAAAGAGCTAACACAAGCCCGAGACTGCTATCCTTTCAAAGGCTGGCCCTTGGCTGGTGTCTAGGAAATTGGATTTCAGGAGGGTTTCCACCATTCTCTAATAAGAGTGGTTTACTGTGCTTAAACTGTTTGTAAAAACAATGTGGTTTAAGGGGCTGGCCCCGTGGCTGAGTGGTTAAGTTTGCGCGCTCCGCTGCAAGCGGCCCAGTGTTTCGTTGGTTCGAATCCTGGGCGCGGACATGGCACTGCTCATCAAACCACGCTGAGGCAGCGTCCCACATACCACAACTAGAAGGGCCCACAACGAAGAATATACAACTATGTACCAAGGGGCTTTGGGGAGAAAAAGGAAAAACTAAAATCTTAAAAAAAATAAAAAAACAATGTGGTTTAAGCTGAATAGCTGAATACCTGCTTTCCTTCCTAAAATTTGGAATTCTGGTACGTAATAGCAGAGGATGACTACATGGCTATCTTCCAATAAAGACTCTGGTCACTGAGTCTCCAGTGCACTTCCCTGGTGGACAACACTTCGATGTTGTCATAACTCACTGCAGGAGGAATTAAGTATGTCTTAAGTGATCCCATGGGGAGAGGACCCTTGGAAGTTTGCACCTCCTTTCCTCTGGATTTCACCCCATGTGCGACATCCCTTTGCTGATTTTGCTTTGTATTCTTTCACTGTAATAAATCATAGCCATGAATATGACTATACATCCTGAAAACTGTGAGCCCTCCTAGCAAATCACTGAAACTAGAGTTGATCTTGGGGATCCCCAACATGCAACTCAGAAATGTTATGTAATTATAAGATAACCAAAGATTGTTAATAAACAGCACAGTGAATAAAATCAATTATGTTAAAATTTTTAAAAATTCCACATCCCAATTCAATTTGTTTCTAAAACTTTTCTTTATAAAAAGTTTTAATTTAAGGCATTCAAAGCTCAAAGATATCATCATTTAAAAAAAGCATAATGTTTATTACAATTAATAAAAGCTAACATATATTAAGTGTTTACTATGAGCTAAGCACTGTGCTAAGTGCTTTTACGTGCATTATCTTATTTAATCCTAACAGGACTGTGAGGTAGAGTCTGCAGTCATCTCCATTTAACAGGTAAGAAAAATAAAGCTTGAAGAAGAAATTTGTCATGGTTCCACCAGCATGTGGTGGAGTCAGTATTCAAACTCAGATCAGTCTGACTTCAAAGTCTGTGGTTTTAATTACAATGTTCATTATATTCTCTCCCAAGTAAAACAGTAAAAATACAAAACATATTCCCAAATAACCTACTTCTCACTCACTTTTTTAGCTATTACTCTTCATAACTGGCACCACAATCTATCCTTTATATTGAAGATTTGGCCTAAAACAAAAATCATCCCTTATTAGGTAAAATATAAATCACGAAAAAACAAGTTTTCTGGGGGCTGGCCCAGGGCCAACCAGTTACGTTCACACGCTCCGCTTTGGTGGCCCAGGGTTCACTGGTTTGGATCTGGGCGCAGACCTGCATACGGCTTATCCAGCCATGCTGTGGCAGGCGTCCTACATATAAAGTAGAGGAAGATGGGCACATATGTTAGCTCAGGGCCAATATTTCTCAACAAAAAGAGGAGGACTGGCAGCAGACATTAAAAAAAAAGTTTCATGGAAATATTTTAAAGAAAGCCCAGAACAAGTCCTGGCACAGAGTAGGCATACAACTTTCTAAGAGAGTAAACATAGAGTTATCTCATTCTTTCCAATGGCTGCCTTATGTTATGCTTCCTTTGTAAGTGTACATCAAAGTATATTTAAACATCCTGTCTACTGGAAGTTATTCAGAGTGTATGCTATTACAAGCAATGCTGCAATGAATATCAACGTACATATCTTTATGCACTCATGCTAGTACTTTTAGGGTGAATTTCCCTTGAAGTTGGATGACTGGGTTGCAGGACACATATATTTAAAATTTTGATTAGGTGGGGGCCGGCCCGGTGGCACAGCGGTTAAGTTTGCACATTCTGCTTCTCAGTGGCCCGGGGTTCACCAGTTTGGATCCCGGGTGTGGACATGGCACCACTTGGCACACCATGCTGTGGTAGGCATCCCACATATAAAGTAGAGGCAGACAGGCACAGATGCTAGCTCAGGGCCAGGCTTCCTAAGCAAAAAGAGGAGGACTGGCAGTAGTTGGCTCAGGGCTAATCTTCCTCAAAAAAATTTTGATTAGATGCCAAATTTTTCTCCAAAATGGGTGTTCTAACTTATACTTCCACCAACAACATATGCAGGTGCTCATTTTACTATGCCTTTAACTAATACATAATGTTCTCATTTACATTTTTGCTAACCTGTTAGATGAAAAATGGCATCTTGTTTTAATTTGTATTTCTCTGATTACTAGGGAGGTTAGGTACATTTCATGTTCACTGGCCATTTCTTCTCTTATATATTTTCTATTCATATCTGTTAACAATTTTTCTACTGGCTTGTCTTATTCTTTCGTGGAAGCTTTAAGCTTTTCATACATGGATATGAACCTTTATCCTTTATATTTGCTGTAAACACTTTCTCCTTGTCTGCCATTTATTATTTTAAGTTTGATTATGGTGTCTTTACCATAGTTTTACAATTTTTATATAGTCAAGTATAACAATCTTTATCCCTATGGCTTCTGATTTTGTGTCATGCTTAGAAGGGTTCTACCTACCCTAAGTGGTAACATAGATTCTCCTAATTTTTTCTAGTGTTTTTATAGTTTTGTTTTACTTATCTTCATCTACTTATATCTTTATTTATATCTTCAGTACACATGTAAGTTATTTTTGTGAATGGTGTAAGAAAGGAATCTAAATTTTATTTATTTATTGTTGTTGAGGAAAACTGGCCCTGAGCTAACATCTCTGCCATCTTGCTCTATTTCGTATGTGGGTTACCACCACAGCATGGCTTGATAGCGGTGTGTGGGTCCGTGTCCAGGATCCAAACCAGCAAATCACAGGCCACCAAGTAGAGCACACGAACTTAATCACCACACCACCAGGCTAGCCCAAAATCTAAATTTTTTAAGTTAGATGACATCATAGATTGGTGAAAAAAGAACAAATGCACATAGCTGTCATAAATTCCTGAGGCAACCTGTCATGAAGAGATATAACAGAAGCAGTCTGAAACGTCACTTGGATATATTTTTAGAATCTATTTAGTTCATTAATCTACTTATTTATTTCTGGGCTAGTACAACAGAATTCACTTTAATCTATGTTTGGAGAAAATTCACAATAGAAAGTAAGCTTCACGAGGGCAATACTCATACCATCCTTGGTGGCTGCCTTCTTATCTCTCTGGTTCCCCACTACGTTCCCGGAGGCTAGACTAGCACCTGGCATGTGGCAGGTACTTAAATACATGTTGGAAGAATGAATAAATGCACAAACTTTGGGCATTCCAGAACATAATTTCTTGACCCTGTGCTTTTCTCCTTGTCACAAAATGGAAACTCAGACTTCTGATTGGAAGTCTTTTTTAGGCAAAACAGGCTTAAAACACTGTTCTTGCTCTCTGGTTAACATAATAAAACATCACTGAAATGTTACTATTATCACCAAATGTGTGTAGGGCACTATGTTAGATGAAAGGGTCACAAAAATTTTATACAGGACAGATTCCCTGCTCATCTTCTGGGTGGGAAAGAAAAGTATACACACACACACACACACACACAAGCACGTAAAATAATTATATATAAGTGCCAAATAGATGATACAGACGATAATAATACAGACCACAGAGTCAGAAGACAAGTTTCCCTATCTGTAAAGAAAATAGCAATTCCTACCTCCTAGAGTAATTCACGATTTAGAAGAGAACGCAGCCACCAAGGATGCTCCTAAAACATTGTATGATAGCAGAGTTAAGCCTCAATAAAAACAACCTTTTGGACAACTTTTACTATATGCCGCAAATTCTTTTAAATGCTTTCATGTATTAACTCATTTAACCCTCTCAACGACTCTAAGGTCTAAGTACTATTATTTTTTCCCCAGTTTTAGCGAGGAGCACACATAACTTCGGTTTGCACAAAGTCACACTGTAGAGTTCGAAGCTGGGGTTCCAACCCAAAATTTCTTGGCTCCAGAACCTGAGCACTTTCCCACATGAAACACACTTACACGCCTTAAGAGAGTAGCATTTAGACAGACAGACAGGCTGAGGAAGACGCGTGCATCTACGCGCCTGGAACAATAAACGGGCAGATTTGGCTGATGCAGAAGTGAAGGCGTAGAGTTTGATTATGTAATTACCCTGAACGACCACCACCTCACAGGGCAACGATTTGTAAACTTTCACGTAGGTACTTCTCCTCGAATACCGTGCTTCTCTCATCTTTCCCATTAAACTCACGAACTTTCGACAGAGAAAACAATTATTTTTCAACTATTTATGCTCTTACTCTGAGCCAGAGCAGGAGCTCGGGCCTGGATCCTCTGGGAACCGCGTCTCGCCGGCCGCGCCGTCACTGCCTCCACCGATCACTGTGGAGGAAATCAATGAAAGCAGGCCGACCGATGCAATCGAGTTGCAACCGATCCTAAACATGCGCAGTTCCTAATTCCCAAGCTTTTTCCCTCTCCCTCCACGTCCCCTGTGCCGGTCCTAACACCACCGGGAACTTCCTCTGGGACAGAAGGTCAGAAAACGATTGCCGAGGTAACGGCGTCGCCGCCAGGCAGGGCCAGGCACCGAGCCTCTGAGGCCGCGGACTCTCTACTCCGGATTCTAGACCAAGCTACGGTGGCGTTACCACGCCTGGGGCAAGACGCCCGGCCTTGTGCCCAGACTCCGCCCCGCCCCCCGGGCCTCAGTTTCCACACCAGACCTCCACATAAAAGAGCGTGGAGCAGGCCGAGTCTCCCCTGAAGAGTCCCTACGCGCTGGGTCTGTTGGCCCAGAAGCCTGGGGTGCTGGGGCTCTCTCCTTCCCCAGCCGCCACCTTGGGACGGTTACCTCATCCTCGCCTGCCGTTCCTCCAGCAAAGGACCCCGCTCCCACCACGTACCTCACTCGCGCGGCTTCCCGGGGCGCCCTGCGTCGCAACACCGCAAGAAGCCTGGAGGCGGGACCAGGATCCTCCGAGCCAAGGGGCGGGGCGCCCCTCGCCAGGCAACCAATCAGCATGCAAGACACGCCCTATGGGGCGGGGCGCGTCGGGCGCGGGGCGGAGTCTGAGGTGGCTGCGCCGGCCGCAACAAGTGCAGCTGATTCGGGCTGAGGTGGCAGATGTTAGCGAGCGCCGCGAGCAGAGGTAAAGTCGGAGCCCGAGGATGATGAATGGAGCAGCGGGACGCTCGCACAATGACAGACGCGAGCGGGTCCTCAAGTTAGGCGAGAGTTTCGAGAAACATCCGCGCTGCGCCTTCCACACTGTGCGCTGTGAGTGAGGATGACCCCGGGGAAAACGGGGAGCTCTGGGTACGGGGGTGTGTGGAGGCGCAAACCTCTCCAAGTTGTGTTCCCACAGACCCCCTTACTCTGCGGGAGAATGGGGTGCCCAGCGCGAGCCGCTGCCCTCCCTGGAGTCCTTGGGGTCAGTGGAAGGAGCCGGAGTCGAGCAGATGTGGGTAAACCCTGGGCAGAGAGATATAAGTGAGACGAGCGGGCAAAAGGGGAAACTTTGTGGACCAGGTCTGCAGGGGTGACTCTGGAGACAGATGTGACTGGTGGATGATGCAGAAGTGGAAAGAAAAATAAAGTGGCAAATGGAAGAGAGCAAAGTACAAAACTACTACACAGGGGGAAGGGAATGCCTTGAGGCTCATGGGGAAATAGTCTCTCTTTTTTTCTCTTTTTCTGTGTCTGGCTGATGAGGGTTCTTATTTAATGTGTACCTTGGGAGAAATTTTGAACCATTCTCATAATCTGTATCTCCTTTGGACCTCTGATTTCGTTCTTTCAGTTATCTGATACTGATTATTAAAGTTTTGGAGGGTGTGTTATTAATTTCTTTATTAGAAAGATATTTACTCCCCTATGATTTCTTTTGATTTCCTTTTGCTTGTCCTCTGGAAGTAGTTTTGATAAATTTTTCTTTTTTATGTTGTTGAGGTGGAAAAGGGAGCTCTTTTGCTTTGATAATTGGATGCTGTTGATTCCAGGAGGAAAAATATAGCATATTATGATTTGGTATGTAAAACATTCATTCTTTGCATAATAGCCGTCATACAACTATAGAGCGGAAAGGAAACTTTGAGGTCATTGAATCATAACCTCTTATTTTTCTGTGGCAAAATTGTGAAGTAGGTAGTTTTTCACTTCCTTCCCCCAACCCTGTCCTTCCTTAGTGTCTCATCATTCCATCTTCCTCAGTCACGCTGCCCTTAGACTGTCCAGAGACCTCTGTGGTTTTTACTCTGGAGTGTTCCATGTCTCAATTAAAACACCCAGTTAAAACTCACATTCTCCAAAAGTTTACTTATGTTGTAGGCAATCTGATGGTAGTAACTCACAGTAAAGGTATGAAGAACCAATAGGTCAAACTCTCCAAGGATATATTTATATTTTATAAAAGGGTTTTATTAAGCAAAATTAATATCTAGTTGGTAGAATAAATGGAGGAGGTATTTGCAGAAGACCTTCAACAGTGTCTCTGGTTTATTCTTCTTTATCATACTCTGTTGTCCAAGGCTCCCCACAGTGGGACAGCTAGTGCTGGCTGTGCAGATTCTCTCCTTTGTCAGTCCCATTTTCCAAAAGTATGATATAGTTTTTGTCTGGTTTCTCCATGCCTTTCTCTCAAACAGTATCTCCTCTCTCCTTTCCTCTTCTTTCTCAGGTATGCAGTAGTCTTAGAATTAATTTTTCAAATCACAAAGTTTAGGATTATAAAAATTTTCTCAAGAATATATTTTCATATAACTTGGATATAGATATTCTCTTTTTAAGGGCGTGAACCCCAAATTCAGTGAATAAAAAATAGCCTTTGAAAAACTCTTTGCAGGTACTTAAAAACCTTTCATTTGTGGAAGTTCTCAAAATGCTGGAATTGTGTCTTCAGAGTCAGAGAATCAGATGATCCAGCTACAAGAATGAAAAATAAGCAAAACAACAACAATAATAACCACAATAAACCCAGATGTTTGAATACACTCTTAGTCCTGTGGAAGACATTAGGAAGGTTTTCAGCCGTTAGTTTTATTCTTCTTGAAGCAGAGAGACTCTTGCTAGATTTATTTAAATAAAACCAGTCATTATCCTTGAGGATAGGTTCATTTTCCATATGATCCTCACTCTTAAGGACTCAGAGTGAGGGATAGAAACTGTAGAATAGGAAATCTGACTTTCATCCAGGGCAGATGGACCTAATTTATCACAAACACTGAAGTCACTGTAATGTGGGAGAAAGTAAAATTCTATCTTTATGTACAGAGCTAATTACGCTGGTCCACTATGCTGAGGCTTTGGAAAAACCTGGACGTGTATTCTGGCCTCCACCACCTATATATCTAATGTAACTTTGGAAACATTCTCTAAGCTCTCAACCTCAGTTTTCTTATATATAAATGGTAATAATAATATGTACATTTCAGAGTTTTTAAGGATTAAATAACATAGCGTAAACAATTTAGCACAGTATTTGGTGCATGGTAGACAATAAGTAGTAGTTACCATTATTCTCGAAGGGTTATAGTCATGTGTATATGAGGAATGCCAATGAATGTAATTTACTTAGACTTTCAGAAAGCACTTATCAGGGCTCGGCAATAAAACCTATCAAAAGATAGACTGGCATGTGGTAGGGAAGACATGGGATGTTCTATACTTGATAAGCTAAATGCTTAGCAGCAAATGCTTCACTTCATAGAAGAGTTTGAGGAAGGGGATCCACTAGAATAAATTTTGGATTTGGGCTAGTGCTAGTTTCACAATTTATATCTAGATAAAGGAATAAATATTGAAATCCGTAAGTTTGTAAATGACACCACTTTTTGCTGTCATGAAATGATGAGCTTATGGGCAGTGACAACAGGAAGACTGTCTGAGGCATCAAGTGGCGCCACTCCCAAAAGGGTGGTTATTAAACTTTGGTGTGAGCAAATATTGGAAAGTACACAAATGAAAAATAGAATTGAAATTGTATTTACAGTTAATGTAGTCTGATCAGTGTAGTATATGGGTAAGGGTGTGGGTTTTGGAGTTACTTGAATTAGTTTAAATCCCAGGAAGTAAATGATAGTAACTTTGGATTCTTTTATGAAGATATTGACATTATGTGATGCTACAGCCAAAATAGTCAGAAAAGTGATCAACATTGACAGAAAAAGTATTAAGTACAAAATACGAAATGTTTTTCTACTCTTCATGTAATATAAGTAATTGTACTATAAACATGAAGAAAATAACATAGATGAAGGATATCCAGAGAGAATAAGTGAGTGGTAAAACTGGTGATGAGGTTTCCAAACCAAGGATAACCAAAAGAAAGAAGCTACAGTAGTCCCTCTTTATCAGAGATTTCACTTTCCTCAGTTTTAGTTACCTGCACTCAACCATGGCCTGAAAATATTAATTGGAAAATTCTAGAAATAAAGAATTTGTAAGTTTTAAATTGTGTGCATTTCTGAGTAGCATGATGAAATCTCACCCTGTCCAACTGCATCCTGCCTGGGACGTGAATCATCCCTTTGTCCTGCGTATACATGCTGTGTATGCTACCCGCTTATTAGTCACTTAGTAGCCCTCGTGATTATGAGATTGACTGTCGCAGGATAGCAGTGTTTAGGTAACCCTTATTTTACTTAGCAATGGCCCCAAAGCACAGGAGTGGTGATGCTGGCAATTCAGATATGTCAAAGAGAAGCCATAAAGTGTTTGCTTTAAGGGAAAAGGTGAAAGTTCTGGACTTAATTAGCGGAGGAAAAAAATCGTATGCTGAGGTTGCTAAGATCTACAGTAATTTTTATTATAGTATGTTGTTATAATTGTTCTATATTATTATTATTGTTGTTAATCTCGTACTGTGCCTAATTTATAAATTAAACTATATCACAGTGGTATGTGTGTATGGATAAAAACATAGTATGTATAAGGTTTGGTACTGTCTGAGGTTTCAGGCATCCACTAGGGGTCTAGGAATGTATCTGCCAGATAAGGGGAAACAACTGTATTTAGCCTGGAATCGTAGCACCTTAGAAAAGAATACATTTGATATTTGGAAGCATATAGAAAGCATGAACATGAAATTATTCAGCAGATTCTATAATTCTAGAACTAGGCATAACCCTTTGAAACTCAAACACTTTATACTTTAAAAAAAAACTTGTTTGAAGGTAAATAAAACACTGTTTAATAAAATAAGTAATAAAAAGGTGGAATTTATTAATTTTATCAGTAGAATAATTAGAAATGTAAATAAGATCAGAATAGTTTTGATAGACTTATTGATTATAAATTTATGCTTATCATTAAGTAAAGATACAGATATTTTGAGTACATTTCTGTCCCTTATAGTTATCTTATATGCTGTAGGCATTGATCAGCTTCAGGGGCTTGTGAATCCCTTGCAATTATACAGTATTTGATATGTATCCTCATGTATGCATTTTTCTGTGGAGAGGATCTATGGCTGGTCTGTGATTTTCATCAGATTCCCATAGAGGCTTATTGCTATTCCTCATCTCCTAATACTCCCCCCTCCCCCGACATACACAGAAGTTAGGAACTGTGGCTATAAGGCAAGGAAGCTATATAATATGAGTGGATAGAGTATGTGACTTGAATTCCTGACTTCCTCTTTTATTGGCTTAATTACTTTAGAGGAGTTCCTCATTGGTAAAATATGTATGAGAATATTCAGTTCAAACAGTTGTTGTAGAGATCAAAAGTGATGATATAAAGAAAAAGAATCAGCTTTTAAATACTGAAACAGATTAGCTGTAGATTAACAGCATACTGGCTGAGTTTGACTTTAGTGGTGCTTTGTTTGACCCACACAGTTGTAGTTTTAACATGAGTCAGTTGTAAATACCTAAAAATCAAGATCTTTTATACAAAAATCTGGATTACCAGTTTCTCTTTAAAAAATCAGAAGATAACCTGGCAATACTGAGCCATATTATTCATGGCAGAAGTTGGCTGAAGCTGAT